GATTGCTCACGGAATATATTAAAAATAAACAAATCAAGTAAGCTTTTTCAGTCTTTTTCAACCTCTCTCGACAGATTAGCTAGTGAAATAAAGGTAACAAATGCATTTCTTTATGAATATCGCAAAAATGGATTTTCTGACGCACGTATTAAGGCATCAGAAATCGCAGAAGTTTTGGGCCTTGAAAAAGTTTTCCTAATAACATATTTACGAAAAAAAAAAAGTTGATTTATTCATACGAGTGTGTTAATCACACTCGGCAACCTGAACATCAGTATAAAGCAGACTTTTGGCTATAATTGATATTTCAATTGCATCAGTAAAAAAGCGTTTTGAACAGATCAGAATTGTCACTAAGCTTAATGACTTTCTTTACAAATCTGAAAGTCTTATCAAAGCCTGTAATGAAAATTCTTTGTTTATATATTGCAAATGAAGCTTGGTGATATAGATTTTGAGGATTTAAAAATGGAGTTAAAACGATTTGTCATAGTTAAGAGGAAGGAAAAAAATGCCTCAAAGAAGAGCTGCAAGAAACCTATCCCAATTTAGTTGTTGCGTTACAAAGCATTCTTACTTTACCAGTTACTGTTGCAAGTGCAGAACGTAGTTTTAGCAAGTTAAAACAAATTAAAACTTTTCATAGGTTAGTAAAAATAATCTTGCTTCATTATGCATAAATACATATTGCTATATTTTGTTGTATCTTTAAATAATGGTCGATGAACGTTTTTCTTCTTTAGCAACACTGTTGATTGAAATCGAGGTTGGAAGGAAATTAAGTTATAAAAGCATAATATATGAGTTTGCAAGCATAAAAACACGTCACAAACCCTTTTTTTGATGGTTTGCGACGTACTTGTGCTATCTGCATAATACATTAAGAGTATTTAAAAACACTATTTACTTGTAAAGCGTTAATTTGATTGTTTTTAGTCTTATGAACGGCGACGTAAAAATATGTCAGGTACCCTGCTTTTCGGGGTTATCTGTAAACTTTATCCACTTTTGAAAAAAAAACGTAATAAAAAATAAAAAAATAAATTGGGGTCCAAATGGCTAGTTTTGGGGGGACCCACTAGCCACGGCACTGTATGTACCACAAAAAGATATTATGAGAGTTTTTAAGGAGTTTCGAACTTGCTATCTGGTTCCTTGTTACTATTTAGTAGTAAGATGCTATGTAATAACTAATGAATTAGGATCGTTAGTTAAAGGTAGAATTTGAAAGCGGCGTAATGGATAGAGTTAAAAAATGTCTTACATTCCTTAACGATAACTTTTACGTTTTACCATTTATAATAATGATAATAATTTAAAATGCGGCGTTAAAACCTGAAAACTTTTTTGCTCTAGATATGTTAAAATCGTTTGGTTGTGTTTTTATGTTTTTTTTGTATTTTATGTAAAAATTATAATATATTTTTTAAAAATTATAATTTAGTTTTTCCTAAATATACAAATATGTTTTTGAAAGAAAAAAATAATACGATTTTTTGAATGCCTTTATTTTAATTCTTCAAAGGAAAGTATTCCGCATATTAACATTTCAATTTTTCCAATACAAAGTTCACATGTTACTAGTATGGCTTCCGTTTTCAGAATTTCTGAATGGCGTTTAATTTCTATTTTAAATCAGTTGCAATATTATTCTATACTAAATGAGTTTTAAAAGATACGTATATATATATATATATATATATATATATATATATATATATATATATATATATATATATATATATATATATATATATATATATATATATATATATATATATATATATATGTATATATATATATATATGCATATATATATATATATATATATATATATATATATATATATATATATATATATATATATATATATATATATATATGTATATATATATATATGCATATATATATATATATATATATATATATATATATATATATATATATATATATATATATATATATATATATAACACATATATATTACACACATTTATATATATATGTATATATATATATGTATATATATATGTATATATATATATATATATATATATGTATATATATATATATATATGTATATATATATATATATATATATATATATATATATATATATTATATATATATATATATATATATATATATATATATATATATATATGTAAATATTATATTATATATTGTATATATGATTATATAAGTAATTGTTTAAAATAAAATTTAAAATTTTACAAATATTTTTTAAGAAATTTTAACTATAGTAATAATAAAAAGGGAAAAAAAAACAAGCATTTGAGGGAGGTATAAGATTAGAAAAAAACTTATATTTAGCTTATATACAATAATATATTTAACTAAATACAGGTATAAATGTTAACTAGATAACTAAATATGACAATAACATGATGTAAACATCATCAGAGATAACTATGATACGTAATTTTAAAATTTCTATAGAGCGCAATTGTAATCAAAGTTGTTTTTGAAAAACATTTTAGCAATCAAAATGTTGTTTCACATTTAGTATATATTATATATTTATATTTTATTTTATAAATAAATAAATAAATAAATATATATATATATATATATATATATTATATATATATATATATATATATATATATATATATGTATATATATGTATATATACTTGAGTCTATAACTTCATTTGACACTGACTTTTTAACTTTAGTGCACAAGCATTCATTTTTTAAAAAAAGTTTGAAAATAGCTACTAACAATTTAAATATATTATAACTATAAATATAATTTTGTATGTTAAATTTTTATGAAATTTTAACTTTCCACATTAAAGTTCTAAAACCAAATTGCATATAGTTATTGTATTATTTGAGTTAATTATAAATATTAATGAATTTGTACAAGTTAACCAGATACTTAATGTTCTGATAAGATAGATCTGTAAACATTTCAATTGAACTTTTTTGTTGTTAAAGTAAAATATATGCCATTAGTTTTTTGATATTTTTGGTTTTCAAAATTTGAAATAGTAATGCCAACCAGTGAAAGAAGGAGAAAAATGGAGAAAAAAGAGTTTAAAGAAGCATCTAAACGACGTAAAGTTGTGACAAATCACTTCAGGTATTACTTTCTACCAGCAGAACAATTTGAGGCCTGCTTTTTAAGATTTTTTAAGCAGGAGTTTTAGATCCTTTAAATTTCGTCTTATAAAAATTAAACAAATATAGGTTTGAAAAGTTTTTATTGCTTAAAATACCTAAATTATATTAGTGTAAAAAGAATTTATAAATAAGTTCATTAACAGCTGGAAGCATGGTATGGATTTGATGCTGACAATAAAAATTGTGGAAGTAGATAATTTATAAAAACATTTGTTTTGCACACAAATACACAAATATATATCTGTTTTATTCACAAATATATATAAATATATCTGTTAATATTTTTATGCTCATGTATATGTGAATGTGGCATAGGATCAATGATGATTTGTATTAGTAGGTTTAGGTAGCATAAATAAACAACATGAAAATATATAAATAAAAGAAACAGTGAAAAATTTGCCAACTTACACCAAAAGCATTTAAAAAAAAAATAAATAGTAAGGTTCTTTACAAAAAAAAGATTAGAGTAAATTAATTGATAATTTCTTTTTAACAGTAAAGGTTTTATTTTTTTACACAAGTTTATCTACCATATTCTTTAACAACCCTATAAAGCAGAGACATGAATCTTGGCAGGCAATGCCACAGTGAAACAAACTGTGTGAAATATTAAAGTGTTTGATTTTGTAATCTTTTACACATAAAGTAAGTACTTTGCTAGTGCACTATTTATATTCACCACTTCTTTACTATTTCATCGTAATCACTTGTTTTTTTTGTTTGTGTTTTTAGAGAGCAATATATAATAACATGTGTTTTTAGAGAGCAATATATAATAAAAAGTTCTGTAGGCAGTTTTTTATTTTGGATCAATGGGTTCAAAAGAGGAATAATAGTTTGCAAGGCAATTTAAATATGTTGTTTTTGAGTTGACATGTTAAGTTGGATAGAAAATGTTATTAATCAAATTTTAACTTTAAATACTTGCTAGTCAGTATTCAAATTTTTGAGTGTCATTTAACAAGAAAAAAATTAGCTGGTTTTAAACTGTTAAGCTTTATAAAAGATTTAAAAATTTTTAAATATTGTATGTAAACGCTGGTGTTTGTCAAACTTTTGGGCATGAATGATAATATTATTAGAAATAGCTATTATAAATAAAAGTGCTTTTCAATTTTAAGTAATTCATTATAGATCATCAAGTGATCTTTAATTGTTAGGCGCATATGAGAATTAAGTTTTTTGTGATAGTGATCAGCTTATAAATAATGCAACAAATGTAACAATGTTTAATTTTAATAATGTCATTAACGATTAAGAATAAAGATCACTATAATCACTTTAAGATCAATTTAATTTTTTCAATTGTAGTTTTTGTGCTAAGCAATAAGTTTATTTGCAGAAACTCTAATTGTTAGTTATTTTCGAAAACCATCCTAACCTCTTTGTAAAAAAATCATTGTCTGTTAAGGTTTGTGTTTTAAAATTTTTAATGGATAGGCGAGGGATACAAAAGTAAGAAAAAAAAAATCTCTAGCTTACTGCGTTGTTCTGGACTGTACCTTACTGGTATCCATCATATAAAAGATAAACATTTTAAATAATAATAGTTCTTAAATAACAAACTTGTTGAGAATTGAAACAAATATTAAAGAGTGTTCTTGAATTAAAGCAAGTGTTAAAAAGTTTTTTAAAATTCAATCAAATTTTAAAGATTTATAAACTTGCCAGCTTAAAGCCTAAAAACTAGTTTTATAAATAAGAGGTTTTAGGAATTGAAGCAAATCATCCCCTCAGTATTATCTTGTTCTATCTACAAATGTAATAAATAAAATGTTTCATCTAATATTTAAAATTAATACAATATATATATATATATATATATATATATATATATATATATATATATATATATATATATATATATATATATATATATATATATATATATATATACACACACACGCACACACACACACTGTAACTGGCCAGGCATGTTTTTTTTTTTACAATTTGACCACAGTTGTTTTAACAATTTAACGTTTAATTTAAATGCAATAAAAAATCATTATGTTATAAATAACTTTTAATCATTGATTTTTTAAAAAATTTTTATTTTATGTGAAAGTTTATATTTAATAAAATAAAAAACTACTTATAATGATTATTTAAAATAAATGCATTTTGTGTAAATTAAATACTAAATGTTAATTTTTTTTTAGTAGACATTTATTTTTTATGATAAATTTAAACATTTGAAACTATTTTTCGAAGTTTTGCTGAAAATAGTTTAAAATATTATTTTTTAAGTTACTTTAAATTAAGTTAAGTTAAATTAAACCTCATTGCAATGGAATGATTTGGTTGCTTTTTTTTTATTATTATTTCTATTTTTACAAAGAGTTGTTTAAAAGTTTTTTTTTTAAACTGACTAATCAGAGCATGAAATAATTAAAAATTACTATTTTAAAAAGACTACATTGTTTTTTTAAATATTTATACAATTTAAAAAAAAATAATTTTTTTTTCAATAATTTTATTTAATTTTTCAATAATTTAAATAAAATTTGTTTATATATTTTAAATAAAAACAAGATAAAATTTGTTTATTATTGTAAATAGAAACAAGATCAGCGATTTTTTTCTGACCCCATACACTTTAAGGTCAGCATTTAAGTTGGGATTACCGAATGCTGACCTTAATTCCAACACTTTTACAAATTACTTCTAATGATTGTTTAATCATTAGAAGTTATTTGTAAAAGCGTTTTGCCTAACTTCAATAAATCATTTCAAAAGATAAGTTTTAAAGTAATTTGTTTCAAATGCAATTAAAAATGTAACAAAAAGTAATTTTCGCTTCAAGTTTAAGTTTTTTAAGTTTTATTTTAAAGCTTATATTTTTTTGTACAGAATTGTATCTTTTTTTCTTTCATTTTTTAAAATTTTTTCCTAGTTTAAGTTTATCTTAGTGTTTGTTTTTTCAGTACATTTCTGAAATCAAAATATCTAAACAGTTGTATGTATGTATGTATGTATGTATGTATGTATGTATGTATGTATGTATGTATGTATGTATGTATGTATGTATGTATGTATGTATGTATGTATGTATGTATGTATGTATGTATGTATGTATGTATGTATGCATGCATACATACATATTTATGTATGTATGTATGTATGTATGTATGTATGCATGCATGCATGCATGCATGCATGCATGCATGCATACATACATACATGCATGTAACATGCATGCATGCATGCATGCATACATGCATGTATCATGCATGCATGCATGCATGCATACATGCATGTATCATGCATGTATGCATGCATGCATGAATGCATGCATACATGCATGCATGAATGCATAGATGTATTTATGCAAACATTGGAATTAAGAAAAATTAGGTCAGCAATAATTTGTTGACCTCAATCTTTTAGAGGTCTGTATCAGGTCGGCAAAGAAAATTTGATATCAAGGTCTTACCATAAAACATAGAAACAAGGTTGGCAATTATTTGCTGACCTTAAACACTTTTATGTTGGCAGTTATGTCCGCATTGCCAAATATTGACACTACTTCTGAGGGGTGATTTTCAAACTTTATAAAAATCAAAAAATGATAATATATTATGTATATATACATTTTTTTAAACAAAATTTGTGTATCATTTTTTGGCATCTTTAGTTAAAAAGTTTGTTTAAATTTGAAAATTTAACTTCTTATTTCTATGCCTGGTGAGGGATAAAAATTATTTTGTGTGTGTGTTTAACTAGTATTTATATTGCCCTTACCTAACTTATACAACGGTAAGCCACCTATTTAAACAACTAACCTTTCTCAACAAGTTTTGCTTTTCACATTTTGATTATTATTATTTTCTTCATTTTAAAATAAAACCGATATGTTTTTAATTTATAGTATTATAGTATTTGAATAAACAAGTTAATATATATAAAAGATTATTATAATATTATTGGAAATACTAGTAGCATTAACTCTTTTAGCATAAGTATTAGCTCTTTTAGTTGTAAAAGATCTTATATTTCTTTCAGAAGTTTAAAGTTCTTTTAAATCTTAAATTGTTTTTTTTGTTATTTTGTATAAGTATATACAAGGACAATTTCTTGGTTAACATACCTAAGACTAATGATTTTAGCTGGTATTTAAAAGCACAGGATAAAATCCAAAATAATTTACATCAGACTTAAATAAAATTGATCCACAATGAAATTTTGAGATCCTTTTAATAAAGAAAAACTGAAAAATAATAACAATTTTGACTTGTTTTCTATAAATTTTCTATGATATAACTAAACTTTAAAAAACATAAGTTTTCAGTGGTAGTCCTAAATTTGAGAAAGCATTTAGTGGTTAAAAATAATTTTATTTATGCAAATGAAAGTTAAATCAAAAACAATATCTTTTACTTTTGTTATTTTGAGTTATGAAAAATCTGTTAACTTCAGATTAATAAAAAGAAAAGATTTTAAAATCAAGATTCTACTTATTTATAAATTTACTAAGACAAGTATAAGATGATAAGATCAGTTTTTAATCAAAATTAATCAAATGTTTCAACAAACGAAATAATTTGATGCTTCAACAAAAGTTTTTATTGTTTTTCTAAAACTCAAAACTCAAAAAATTCAATTTTATAGTTTTTTTTTAGACTTAGTTTTATAGATTAGTGTTTCGAAGGTAAAATTTACCGGAAAATTTTGAAAATTCACTGCCTGGTAAATTTTGAAAATTTTTTTTCACTTATTTTCTATTTTTCTAAGTAAAATTTTCCCTCTTCTATTTAAAATATACTGGTAAATTTTACCGGTAAATTTTGAATAAATTTTACCAGAAAATTTACATCACTATTATAGATATAATTAAAGAATAAAATTGTTTAAAAAACTTTTTTTTTAAATTAGATGATAAAAAACATATTTTTAACAATTAAAACTAATAACATACAAAAAAAAAATCCAAAAGCTTCAGTAATTAATAATAAAATTGAAAAGGTCTAAATAAATTCAATAAAAAAAAAATTAAATAAAATGTTTAAAAATTGAATTTATTATAGCTGTTATTAACTGTCATAACTTTTTTTAGTCAATGAATTTGTTCAGATGAAGTGTTTTGTTCATGATGAAGTGTTTTGTTGATTAGAGAAACTAATAAGTAATGGTAAGAAGACGTGCTCCTGCTCAAAAGGCTTTAACTCCAGAAAGAGTAAAATTTACAGCTGATAATGAAAATGGTGATATTTGCGAAGAAAACAATTTTAAAAATGGCATGTTGTACTACAATATTTTTCTTTAACAGTTTCACTTTTTTTTGTTGTTAATTTAATATTAATACTATTTTCTTAAATGTATGATATATTCATAAAATAGTATAGTAAAAAACAATATATATATATATATATATATATATATATATATATATATATATATATATATATATATATATATATATAATAGTATAAAAAATAGTATAGTAAAAAACCATATATATGTATTATATATATATATGTATTATATATATATATATGTATTATATATATATATATATATATATATATATATATATATATATATATATATATATATATATATATATATATATATATATATATATATCAAGGGCTATTCTAGACCGTTTTCAATAGCGTCAACCGTATTTGGACGCTGATTTGGGTGCTGCCCAAATTAAAATTTGAGGACCTTTTTTTTTTAAAAGTAATGGTTTTTTTGGCAAATTTGATTTTTTTTCGCGAAAAAACTCCTGATTTTCTGCTAAAGTTTGCCTGAATGAGGGGGTACTGCCCCCTCATTCCGTAATAATAAGTAATGGTAAGAAGATGTGCTCCTGCTCAAAAGGCTTTGACTCCAGAACGAGTAAAATTTACAGCTGATAATGAAAATGATGATTTTTGCGAAGGAAACAATTTTTAAAATGGCATGTTGTACTAGAATATTTTTCTTTAACAGTTTCACTTTTTTGTTTTGTTGTTAATTTAATATTAATACTATTTTCTTAATTGTATGATATATTCATAAAATAGTGCAGGCCTTGTTTTAAAGCGTTACGCCTAGAGCGATTTACGTACGCCTTAAGCGATTTTTACATACACCTTAAGCGATTTTTACATACGCGCAGAGCTGTTTTTTCATTATTATTTTTTATTCAATAACGATTTATAAACAATAATTATTTAAAAACAAATTTCAGAAATAATTAAAATATATATATATATATATATATATATATATATATATATATATATATATATATATATATATATATATAATATATATATATATATATATATATATATATATATACTTTTTTTTTTACTAAATAATATTGAACTAAAATTAATAATAAAATAACAATTGAAAACATTTCAAAGTTTTCATAATAAATTTACATTTAAAACGTTTATTGTTATATGAGTTAATTGTTAAATTGTTTGTGGTTAATTATTTATTGCCGTAGTTAAAACACTTAATGTCTATAAAAAAATAAAGATAATTTTATGATGTCAAAATTGTGTTAAGCTAATGCATTAAGCACTTTTTTATTTAAAACAAGGCCTGTAGTATAGTAAAAAACAATATATATATATATATATATATATATATATATATATATATATATATATATATATATATATATATATATATATATATATATATATATATATATATATATATATATATATATATATATATATATATATATATATATATATATATATATATATATATATATATATATATATATATATATATATATATATATATATATATATATATATATATATATATATATATATATATATATATATATATATATATATATATATATATATATATAAGGCTTGGGCAGGAATAGCATGCGATCACACTCTGTAACTGACCACGCTAATGTTTTTATTTCTTTACAACTTGACAACGGCTATTTTGATGTTTTAACAATTTGAATGCAATAAAAATAGTGTTACGTTATAAATATCTTTTAACCGTTGATCTTTTCTAAAGTTTTTTATTTTATGCAAACCATAAAATTAATTATAGTTATTGTTTACATTAATGCTGGTGTAAATTAATAAAAAACGTTATAAATAAGTTTTTTTTTATGTAGGCATTTATTTTTTATGATAAATTTAAACGTTTGAAACTATTTTCTTATGTCTTCCTAAAACATTTTTGAACCATTGTTTTTAGAAAGAATTTTTATAAGTTACTTAAATTTGTGAATAAGTTCAAAAGCTTTTGTGACTACTAACTTTTACACATTTTATGTGAATTAAATAAGAATATAAAATAACTTTATTTACATATATAATCATGTATTTTGTTGATTTAATGAAAAAGTTTTAAAGCATTTTGTAATGTTCATATGATTAATTTTTATGATTAAACATAAGATTTTTTAAAATTTTTTAAATAAACATTTTATTTTTTGTAAACAATTTTTTTTTTAATTTTTTTTCAATTTTGTTAGAAATGAATGAGATTAAATCTTTTATAATAGTTTTTAAATTAGTTACTTGAAGCGCTTATTAATAGTTGTAATGCTCAAATTAAAATTAAATTAAAAAGCTTGTTCACAGTTTATATTTTATTTAAATCGAGGCGCATTTTATTTAATTTTAATTTTTTTTATTTTAACAAATAAAAAAGTTCAAAACCTATTTTTTAATTAGACTCACTAATTAGAGCATGAAATTAGTAAAAATTACTATTTTAAAAAGACTACGTTATTTTTTCAAACAATTATTTTTTGTGTGACTTTTTTGACAAAATAAATGTTTATACAATTTAAAAATATTATATAAAACACTTTTTAATAAATTTAATAAAATTTGTTCTTTTGTTAAACCAATCATTAGTAGTAATTTGTTACTTAATTTAAAAACGTTTTGCGTAACTTTAATAATGCTTAAAAAGATAAGTTTTAATAGGGTAATTCCATGTCAATTGAGCCAGAAAATTTCAAAAATGTCACCATACATCTCAGATTTTGCTGATTTTTATACAGTTGAGAGTACTTAGTAAAACAAAAAATCCTTGAAAATTTTAGCTTCTAGCTCCAAGAGGATCATGAAATATGATCATTTTACTTTTAACTGATCTTGGCCAGGCCCCTCTTGTCCCCTCAGAAGTGTGACCTTTGTTTAAAGGTTTCAAGTCACATAGCTTTAAAAATATTTGATCTTTTAACTTAAAAATTTGTACCTGGCTATTTTCAGGGTCGAAGAATCCAATGAAATAATCAGAAATGTAAAAAAAAATTTTAAGTACTTGTAATTCTCAATTTAAATAAATTTAGGCAATTTTTTATATACCTGGTTTTGATGCTCAAGAAAGCCATGTGGCCTTGATGATATAAAAAAAAAAAATTGTACACATTATTCTATATTTAATGATCTTTCAGAAAACATAAAAATTTTGATCTGCAAGTATATGGATTTCCATATATGGTTAACGGGGCACAGGCCCCACTATTTTGTAGCAGAATCTTGCCATACATTTTTCACTACCTTTCAGACTAGCTGGAACGATGAAAATTTTGGTATTTATGTAGTGTCGATAAATGTGCATTTTAAAATTAAAAAAGGGCCCAAGACACTAGGGGAGGGGGCTGGGGGGATGTGCCCCATTTTTTTGACTGGAATCTTGAGATGGATTTTTCAGTATCTTCCAGACAAGCGTGAGCTTTGAAACTTTCAGCATTTGTGTAGTCCTGATGAACATGCTTTAAAATAGTTTCAGGTCAGACGACTAGAAGGTCCATGGGGCTGGGTCACCAGGGACCATGCCCCACTTATTTTCTCAAAAAAAAAAATTTTTTTTTTTGTCTTAAATTTAAAATAACTTTGAAAATATTGTATTTAAATATTTTATTGCTTTATGCTTGTTCCGTTTTACTTCATTATTTACAAAATAAAATACAAAAAAAAGAAATTGTCAAGATAATGCTAAGATTAGCTTAGATGCATTGACGGTCAAAGTATACAAACGTCCATTTGTTGTTACAGGTGCATCAATTATACAAGTTATGTTGGTAATTGGAACCCAACACTCATCTACTCTAGATGGCCAGAAAAGTTTATTAAAAGGACCGTGCGGGTGCATAAATGTTACCATAACATCTTGCTCTATATTATCAACTTCATTGATCATACCAATCCAATCAAACGCATCATATTTACACATAATGAATTCACCAAATTTCAAGGCATCAATGTTAATTTGCTGATCTTTTGAGAATTTTGAGAACTTTGAATACCAGAAAAAGAAAAAATGCCTGTTATATGAACATCTTCACTTGTTCGTTTAAAGCTAATAGTATCTATAGATTCTGGTTTAAATTGATGATAGCTCCTAGTTCCAGGGATTGTTCTACTTAGCTCAAAACGTGTTTTCAAAGTGGTGCGCAATTCTGTCAGTCTTTCTTTTTCAATCTTGAAAAAAATAATTCCTTTAATATTGTTAGTACAGTAGTCAAACATTTTGTTACAATTTAATATCTGGTCATTTATGGGCCTTTGTAGACTTGCATTTGTAGTTAATCGTTTTACAATGCCACCAATACCATCACATGATGACTTACTATGACTTGTAGCAAAAAATGTCCACTCTGCATCAATGTCAAAATCATTTTTATGGAGACAGATATTGTAAAGGTTTTTGTGGTTTTTATACTGTGCAGCACAACCATCAGAAAAATAAAGAATCTTTGAAATTTTAGGATGATATTCTTTTAAATAGTTAACTATTTGTGTTTGAACTTCATACACAAAACCAGTGTCATGCTCATTATCTTCTGACATGAAACAAAACGATTTTTCTTCAAGTTGGTCATTTTCGTTTAATAAATAGAGGGCAACAGGGTGCAATGTGCATTGACTTTTGCACCAATGGTAACTTTGGATTTCATCTTGAATCACAAAAGTGAAGTTTTCTGCAAAGTCAACTAAGACAATACAGCAGTTTTTTGCTAAATTTTCCTTTTGTTGCTTTAGGTATCTTGATTGACATTTTGCAATGTAGGAATGAGCTGTTAACTTGTTTATTGCCTCTGATAACATAAATTTGTATTCTTCAATAGTTGTTGTCTGATAGATCAATGTTGTTCTGTCTGTTTTCTGCCACTGATTGAATGACACCTCCTCGTCATTATCATTATCAATTAGTTGTGCATCCAGAAACTTCTTTAAAGAAACCATACCTGGACAGTTCGGACATCGATGAACCATGCACTCATTACTTGTCACATCACAAACAACTTTTGTCATCATATCTTTGTAAGTACATTTCATTTGTATAGCATTGGTCAAGAGTATTGCATTTTGATGGAGGGTACATACACAAACAGAATGAGTGCCTGATGCTCCAACAGTTATACACCATTTTGGTCTTAAACTGCAAAACTTAGAAAATCCAATAACTTCTTGAGGATATTTAGTTTTAAAAAAAACATAAAGTTCTTTAAGATTACATAAAATAAGACGCTTTTGCATGTGTTGTTTTCTACCAATACTTACGTAATCTTTTTTACCAGGCATTTGTCGAGTAAATTCTTCATCATGGTATATATTGTTGACTCTATTTAATGTTATTTCTGAAAATATTTTTCCTTTCTTAGTGCCTGGAACTGAAAAAATCCCAATCATTTTCTTTAGTTTGCGCGCTTCTTTAATTTGGTATATAGTGACATTGAAATATCTTGCAGCAAAATTTCTTGACCAAGACTTGGGTGTAAATGTTAATAACTGAATTTTAGTTTTTTGGTCAGAAACAATTAACTTTTCTTTTATTTCTGCTGTTAGTTTGTCTAAATCATCACATTTACTTTTGTCAATATTTTTCGTATGAGGAATTTTATGCTTCAGTTCTTCTTCCCTAACATTATATACTTCTGAAATATGCTCTTCATACTTTGACATTATTTTTATAACTTTACTTTTAGCAACAGATAGCCGTTGATGCTTTGGAATGCCATGAAGTTTTATGGGGGATACACCTATTGTTTCCAAACTAACATTTAATGCCTCTCGTGACTTTTCAGAAGTAGCACATGAAATAGATTCCTCAAATTCACAATTATCTTGTTCATGAAATTTACTGATTATAGCGTCAAAGCAGCTCCGACAAAGTTGATATCCAGGCACAATGTTTGGAAAATTAATTCTCAATTGCTTTGCCATGTCTAATGTTATTACATGACTCCCTGAAAAGAAAAGAACAATTTGATTTTAGTAATTACCTATGAATATGAAAATTATTTGTACTTATTTCCATATACATTGCATAACCAGATCAGCTTTTTTTCAAACTTTTATAAACTAGTAGATTTTAATTTCATTATTCAAAAAAGATTTTACAATAATTTTTTATCAACAATATTTACCTTTGATTGCTTTTTTTTTTTGATTTATGCTTGTCCAATAAATTGCAACATTTTGTGTGCTTCTTTTCAAAGTGTGTACCAAAAATCTTTTCATGATGAAGGCAGATTGTTAAAATTTTATCATCTGTTATTCCAGATCTCCAAATAAATTCTTCTCTGGCATCTTCTCTATAGCAATCAAATTTCTTTAAATCAATCTTTCTACAATAACTTAGTTTATGACAAGTATCATTTAATTTTTTTCCAAAATCACATGAATCCATTCTTACTGTAACACTAAAAACATTTTGATATTAGTTTAAAAATGAGAAACCAATAGTAATTAATTCAATGAAAGCAACTTAAGCAATCACCATGGTAATACAAAACTAAATAGTGATTGATTTCTTTTATCTTACTTTGACAAAAAGAAAGTTTCCTTTTCACAAAGTTTAATTATAATCAATTTGTTAATGTTAAAAATGTTAATGATGACTTTAATAGGTAACAAATTTCTTCTATACTAGTGTAATGACAGGATGTTTTTTGTTCCTGTAAATAGTTCTTATTCAATAAAATAACTTGCTGTTAACATTTTAGAATTAGCAAATATCAAATAAAATAATGATTTTGAAAAATTGATAAATTTCTTTTTTATTGATATAATGTTATGACAGGATATTTTTTTCTGTTGAAAGTTAATTAAACAACTTGCTGTTACCATTTTAGCATTAAAATATATTAATCTTTTTTAAATTAAAATTTTAAATTATACAAAATAAAATTATGGTAAAACCATTATTTTAGACTGTTTTTAATCTTATACATGCAAATCAAAATTCTTATAAACATTAACTTTCTTAAAACATTTTAAGAAAGATCATTGAACATAGAATGATCAAAAACCAAATTGAACAAATATAAATCACAAAAATTTGTGGAAGCAATGTTACCAAAGATATGTTTAACATTGTTAAAAATAAAAATCTAAAAAAAAATTTTGAAGACAATAGTTTCATGTGTTAAAATATGTTAAAAAAAAAAAAAATTTTTTTTGAGAAAATAAGTGGGGCATGGTCCCTGGTGCCCCAGCCCCATGGACCTTCTAGTCGTCTGACCTGAAACTATTTTAAAGCATGTTCATCAGGACTACACAAATGCTGAAAGTTTCAAAGCTCACGCTTGTCTGGAAGATACTGAAAAATCCATCTCAAGATTCCAGTCAAAAAAGTGGGGCACATCCCCCCAGCCCCCTCCCCTAGTGTCTTGGGCCCTTTTTTAATTTTAAAATGCACATTTATCGACACTACATAAATATCAAAATTTTCATCGTTCCAGCTAGTCTGAAAGGTAGTGAAAAATGTATGGCAAGATTCTGCTACAAAATAGTGGGGCCTGTGCCCCGTTAACCATATATGGAAATCCATATACTTGCAGATCAAAATTTTTATGTTTTCTGAAAGATCATTAAATATAGAATAATGTGTACAATTTTTTTTTTTTATATCATCAAGGCCACATGGCTTTCTTGAGCATCAAAACCAGGTATATAAAAAATTGCCTAAATTTATTTAAATTGAGAATTACAAGTACTTAAAATTTTTTTTTACATTTCTGATTATTTCATTGGATTCTTCGACCCTGAAAATAGCCAGGTACAAATTTTTAAGTTAAAAGATCAAATATTTTTAAAGCTATGTGACTTGAAACCTTTAAACAAAGGTCACACTTCTGAGGGGACAAGAGGGGCCTGGCCAAGATCAGTTAAAAGTAAAATGATCATATTTCATGATCCTCTTGGAGCTAGAAGCTAAAATTTTCAAGGATTTTTTGTTTTACTAAGTACTCTCAACTGTATAAAAATCAGCAAAATCTGAGATGTATGGTGACATGGCCTGGCTCAATTGACATGGAATTACTCAATAACGTTTATTTCATACGTAATTAAAAACGTAACAAAAAGTTTCGCTTAGAGTTGAAGTTTTTATTTTCATTTTAGTGCTTATATAATTTCTTTTTCGTTATTGATTTGTTTTTTTCGTTTCTTTTTTTCGTTAGGAATTTTTTTTTTTTAGTTTTTTTTTTTAAATTTTTTTCCTAGTTTAAGTTTAGCATTTCTATATTTAGAACATTTCTGAAATTTTTAACTCATCTAAACATATAAACATTGTTCATTAAACAATCGTGGTCAAGTTGTCAAAAAATAAAATCATTTGCGTGGTCAGCAATTGCGTTCGATTGCACGCCATTCCTGCCCAAGCCTGATATATATATATATATATATATATATATATATATATATATATATATATATATACATATATGTATATATATATATATATGTATATATATATATATATGTATATATATATATGTATATATATATATTTATATATATATATATGTATATATATATATGTATATATATATATGTATATATATATATATATATATATATATTATATATATATATATATATATATATATATATATATATATATATATATAGTTATATATTTTTGATTTAGTATTATTTTTGATTACTTTTTTTAATTTAGAATTAGATGAGGAATCTACAAGTACATTGAAAAGTTTTGACACTATAGTTGAATCTTATAACTATCTGCCACCTCATACAGAATATCAAAAACAATTATCAGAAAAGGGAAAAAAATTATGGGAAGCTGTTAAAGAAGATTATTTTAATTTTACTAATTGGACTACTTTATTACAGACATTAGAAGTAGAGGTGGGTTCACATTGTTTTAAAATTTTGTATTCTCAAACTCTAACTTCTCTGTCAAGTTATTCTTATTAAAAGTCATGCTATTTTCACAAGTGATTTTTTTCTGCCATTAACAAATTTCTACTGATGCATTTAAAAACTACTGCTATTTTGAACTTTGTTAGCAAAAAAAAAAGACAGAAATATCTTGGTTATTATTAATCCAGTTATGTGTACACATTGCAATATAGAATCTTTTTTCAAGATATCTGGAATCCCAGAAATTTTTTGGAATTTTGTTTTTTCTGAAAATCCAAAAAGTTTTCTAGAAATACATGATAAAAAAATATTACTTCAATAAAGAAATTAATTGACTAAAACAGTTAAGCATATGAAGTTAAATGAAAAAGTTGAAGAAAATTTTGTAAATCCTTCCTAAAGATTGACAATGTGTTAGTTGTAAAAAGAAAATGAAACAAAACTTTGAAAAGAAAAAAATTGAAAAGAAAAAATTGAAAAGAAAAAGAAACTTTTAAAATGGATTATAAGAAATTTGGAACAAGTTTCAAAGTAACTTGGTCAAAAATTACCTACACAAGTTTATTGTTTGTTTTTGGAATAAAAAGAGATTTTTTTTTTTTAATGTAAAAAAAGTTTTTTACTTTAAAAAACATCTTTTTTGCTGATCCTTCTTGTTATTTTGCCTAGTACATATAGCCTAGTTGTTAGTTTTAACTAACAACTAGGCTATATGTTTTTCAGTTTGTTCAGTATTTTAACAATGTTCTCTTCAGAGTTTTAAAGATTACTCTTTGCTTTGATTACTTCTTTAAGTTCCATAATTGAAATGGTTCTTTTAAATATTGGTACAACATTGGCTTGGAGTTCTTCGATAGGTTGTATAAATTGAATCATGCACTAGAAGATTAGTGTTACATGTGGCAATCAAATTATTTATAAAAGATTTTTTATATTGTGTTGCCAGCAATTGATCAGTAAATAACAAGTTTGATTTTTTAAACAGCCTGATAAAAAGATATGTTTTATTCCGAAGGAGAGTAGTTCAAATATCCTCTATTTTAAATAACAAATGCAGGTAACTTTTACTATATTTCAAGATACAAAAAAATGATTTAGACTGCTTTTCTAACTGTGTCTATGTTGCTAAGGAAACTGGCATCATATTGGCATTGCTCATAACCATATGTAAGGTTTGTAACTGATAAGGATTTATATAAATAAACTATTGTTAACACCTGGCAAAAACAAATTTCCATTCCCATGACAGCCTGTCATTCAGAGCTAATGCAACCTATTGAAACTGAGTTAAATTTAACATTTTAAACATTTAAATTTGTTTTTTTAGTGTTGCAATCTTGTTCTTATTAGTTTCATTATCCCATTGATAAATGATTTTTTCATTTATTTTAAAGATATATTGAAGTATTGTTAAATTGAGTAATGTTTGTAAAATAGAACTTATTCCAGAAATTAGAAATTCTGTTTTCACACTGTTAAGTTTGATAATGTTTGCTACTTGGTAGGTTTGAAAACTAACAATCAGTTTATGCATTCAGAGATTGTAGAGCTTATCAATTACATCATCTGCATATGCAATTATAACAGTAAAAATGCCATTTAATGTCAAACCTACTTTGCATTCTAAGACTCATTTAAGATGTTTTCAGTATAAAATTTTTGTGGATGCACGATAAAATAGATATTTGCCTCATTACTTGTGAGACACTAAATAGATTTGAGGTAAATCCTTGATATGTTATGTTTACAGTACCAGAAAGATATAGCAATAATTTTGTGTAAATGGAAATGATTGAATTTAGATTAAAAAAAAAAGCTAAAAAAAAAAAGGTGTAAAAGTAAGTCAAAAGATTTAAAAAAACTTTTACTATTTTTTATACATTTTTTTTATTTATATATATTTTTTTACTCTTTTATTCCTTGCATTTTAAATTAAAATTATAAAATTTGTGTAAGTATAAAATTTGTCTAAAGATTTAATAAAACTTTTACTATTTTTTATACTTTTTTTTATTTATACATATAAATTTTTTCACTCTTTTATTCCTTGCATTTTAAATTAAAAATATAAAATTTGTGTTTAAAAGTTATGACTAAAAATAAATATAAGTGTTTTCATTTTCCAGGACAATATTGATGCTGCAAGAGATGCTTATAATTGTTTCCTAAGATACTATCCCTACTGCTATGGATACTGGAAAAAGTTTTCTGATGTAGAAAAAAAAAGTGGAAACTATGCCCAAGCTACTGAAGTAACTTTGTGTTATAATAGTTTTGGAATATATTGAAGAAATTATGTAGTTGTTTTGTTTATTCCTAAATTTTCTGATAAATCATATTCATTTAAAATAAATTTATTCAATAATAAAAGGTTTTCTTAAAATGATATCACATTCCTTATATGATAATATTATGATGTTATATGACATTTTTACAAATAAATATCTCTAATTTATTTTGGATAAATTAAAGTTTGAATGAAAGAAATTTTGGAATTATAGTAAATTGACTTTTTTCGGTGTCATTTATATATATAAAACATAAAAAAAGTTTTTTTTTTACTTATTTGATAGACTGCCTGCCCAAACCAAACCCTCAGTCGATGTAGCAGCACTTCCTTTTTTGTAGCAGGTTTTTTGCAGTCAATGTAGCAACACTTCACGTGTGTTTTACAGTAAAAAAAATAAAAATATTCTGAATGTTTTTAAAAATATTCTAATTTTAATTTGCACTTTTGTGGTTTTTTAAAAAAACATTAAATTAATGCGTTTTGTTGTTATCTAAACTTAATGCATTTTGTTGTAATCTACTATTAATTACTGTTTTTTTTACCACAAACTGTATATTCAATCTAAATCTACTGTTTTTTTGTTTTTTTTTAATTCAATGGTTTATGTAACTCAATAAACTAAAATTTTGAAGTGGTATGGTGCTAATACAGTGATAAAATTATTGTCAGATTGATGATCATTTTGTACATTACAAGTGTTAACCACTAATATTCACCCTTTGCTTGATCAAAGTAACTAAAAAGTAGTAGAGATGTTAAAAAAAATATTTGTATTGTGATTTTTTTTTTAGATTTTTGAGCGTGGTCTCAAAGCAATTCCGATTAGTGTTGACCTATGGATTCATTACATTAATTTTACTATGCAACAAAATAAGTTGAATGAAAATCAACAGCTCATTCGAAGGTGATTATCTTTAAATTTCAGAGGCTTTTTTATAACTTCAAGTGAGCAATGTTTAGTTGTTTTAATTGTCCACTAATTTGTGGTTGAAGTCATTTTTCTTAATAAAATTTCTTTTTCTTAGTAAAGATTATTCAGGCTTGCACAAAAATCCTGTGTATATGTGTATATATGAATTAAATTTAAACTAAAGAAGCTCAAGCTTAAAGTGAAAATTATTTTAAGTTTTTTATTGGGTTCGAAATTGTAAAACTTTTATCTTTTAAAACCTTTCGTTTAAAGGGTTTCTAAAGTGTTGAGACATGTTATGTTTATAATAAATAAATATTAGAAAATAAGTTTAGAGTTTAAATTTTTTTTTTTAAAAAAAGGTTTTTTATAATTAAAATGTTAAGGGAAAACCTAAACATTAAAATATCCTTTAACTTGACTAACAGTTCAGTTAATTCCTGGTATGTCGAACTCCGGATAATTCAAATTGCTGTCAAAAAAAAGAAATTCATTCTATAAAAAAACATAAATAACAGTAGCCTATCATTTTTTTCGTTTTTTTGCTGTATTTAGATCTGAATAGAATATATTGTTATCAGATGTAAAATATTGCTATAACAAAACTGTTACAAAATAAATCATATTAATAACTTAAAATCATAATTAAAAAAGCAATTATATAGTTTTAACAAATTTTTTAATAAAAGGCAGGCCTTCTTGTAAGAGGCGTGCGATCAGATGCTTTATATGACCACGCATACAGTTCTTTGTTTTAACAACTTGACTACGGCTCTTTGCAAGTTTCGATAATTAGCGCATTTAAAAAATGCACTTAAAGAAAACAAAGCAAATGTAAATGCAATTTTTAGTTTAATTGATTCCATAATTACTATTAAACTGCCACAAAATTTCCTGAGTACTTTAATGCAATTTAATAAAAGCAATCGTTGAAAAAAATATTCAGATTAGAGTTTAAGGCAAAATGAATACAGAAGCTATCAAAAAATAATTACAAACCTTTTTATCATGGAACTATAACTTCTAATAAAGAAATTTACAAAAAAAAAAATTACAATAATCTAGAAATAGTCGCATTTGTCAACTATTTTTTATCCCAAGGGCGTGACGTACCGTTTTTTTTAATGAGCGTTGACTTGCGTATCTTTATTTATTGACGAACATCTAATTTAAGAGATTTATGTCAAACAAATTTCAAATAATTTTTATTCTAGTTAATAAGTTATCAAATATATCAAAGATGCTTGGTAAATTTATTCAATTGTTATTTTTCAAAAACTTTTTTTAACACATTTGCAAAGCACGCGCAAATTAATAATAAACGCACAATAAAAAAAACTTTTAAAAGTGTTTTTAATATGTAGACAAACATTATTTCAGTTTATGAAAAACAAGAAAATTAAAAAAAAAAGCATGCACAATTGTATTTATAATGAAATCATTTGCTTTAAACTTTTAATGTAATTGCTAAAAGCAGAAAAGAAACCAAGCTTAAACATTATGATTGCTTTCTTCAATAAAAGTAAGCAATCAATTTGTTTAAAGACGGTTTCTTTTGAAGTTTTTGCAAAAGCATCTATTTTAAGTGAAATTATCATATTTTTGTGAGCGCATGCAAAAACCATGCTAAAACATAATTACTTTTTTTTTTTTATTTTACTTAAAAGTGACGCAATTAAAAAAAGTTTTGGCATTTAAAAAAAAAAGTCTCTGCAATTAATTTTTTTTCATTTTAAATATCTGTTTTTTGTAATAAATAAAAAACTATTGATTGCAAAATTATTTTGAAAAAATTGCTGAAGTTACGCATTTGTTTTGAAAAATCTTAAAACGGCATAAGCAAAATTAAAAAAACATGATGTTTGTTTTTCTGTCTGTCTTAAAAAAATGCGCGCACATTTGTCGATTTGTTGCACCCTGTATCCTATTAACTTTTTAATTAAATTTTAAATTTGCATTACAAAATTTTATTAAATTTCATTACCCTTTCCCTCACTATGGATGCCCTTGTATTAGCCTATTTATTCATGGGAAGGAATGATAAAGATTATTAGAGCTGTGATTTTTTCACTTTTGCTTCCAATTAAGTTTAAATTAATTAATAATTAATTAATGTATTGATTTTTTTTCTGGTTTTTCCTTTATCTTTTTTATCATTCTTTAAATATTTTACTTTTTTAGGTTAGTTTTTGTTATATATATTATTTTAAAGATTTTATTCTCTTTTCAGTTTATGGATTGTTTATTTTAATTTGCTTTGTTTTTTTTTAGCGCAATTTTAAAATGCGCTAATTATCAAAACTTGCAATGAGCCGTAGTCAAGTTGTTAAAACAACTGTTATATATATATATATACATATAATATATATATATATATATATATACATATATATATATATATACATATATATATATATATATATATATTTATATATATACATATATATATACATATATATATATATATATATATATATATATATATATATATATATATATATATATATATATATATATATATATATATATATGTATATATATATATGTATATATATAAATATATATATATATATATATATATATATATATATATATATATATATATATATATATATATATGTATATATATATATATGTATATATATATATATATTTAAGAATTTGCGGCAAAACAAAGCTATGAGAAACTAGAAAATAAAACAGAAATACTCGAAGAAAAGAACCGAAGACTATACGAAATAAAAAATCTAAATAAATTTAGCAAAAAAAAATATGTAACTGAAAAAAATATTTTAGAGTAACTGAAAAAAATATTTTAGAAAAAAAAAATGATGCTTTATAACCGTAGCATTTATCAAGCAACAATGTTTTGCTGCATTAATGCAATCGATATATGAAAAGTGCTAAATATAAAAAAAAAGTGTTTTAAGTAATGTATTTTTTATGAAATCTGAAACAACTTTTTTTTTTAAGTTTGTTTGATCGAGCATTAGATTCAGCAGGAATGGAGTTTAGATCAAACAAATTATGGGATACATACATTACATGGGAAAAGTCACTAGGCAATTTAAAACGTGTTACAGAAATATTTGATAGGCTCATAGCAACACCTACTCAGCAGCATTTGAGAAATTGGCAAAGGTAGATTCTTTTAGTTTAATTTACATTAGCTAAAAATATATGCATCAAAATGGTCAAAAAGCAATCGAAATCTCTTTTTAGATTCAAAGAACACTTGCAATCAAATTCTTTAGCAGAAGTCTTGCCTATAGAAGAATATAATAAAATAATGCAGGAAATGGATGCTGTTCCTCCTGGCATGGGCATCGAAGATATAGCACCTTCAATAATTTTAGGTAATTGTTCTTTATGAAAAGTTTAAATAATTTGTTACTTAAGCGTTTTTGTTTTCACTTTTTTTTTCTTTTTTCTTTTTCTATAATAATGTTTTTTATAATTTTGTTTAATTATAAAAAACAACAAACACTCATTTTAATCTCACTCTTTATTTTTAGTAACATAACAAATATAGTATCACTAGAATACTAGAATAATTAACTTAATGCATTTAAAAAGGCTATTGGATTTATGTCAAATAGTTAACATATTTAGCATTACAAATCGTTATCCAAACCTTATCATTAAATTTAGCATATATAATTATTATTTAATTTGAAAAAATTATTTTTTTTATTTAAAATTGTTTTTTTTATAATTTTGTTTATTTGGTTGATTTATTTTTATTATCATTATTAGATAAATTAGGAAAAGATGTTGAAGAAAAGAATAATGATGTATGTATTTTTTTTTTTTTAATTTTTTTAGTACTTTGAATGTTTTTAGTACTTTTTTATAAGAGTATTGAGTTACTTTGACTGAGTAGTCCTGAGAAGGGAGTACATCTCCTGAGAATAGAGTCTCAGGAGATTTGTACATGTCTCCTAAAAAGGGAGGCTCAGGAGTATATGCATGGTCATATACTTGTCTTATATGACCTCACATTTAATTTTTTTTTTTGACAACTTGGCCAGGTTTATTTTCCATATATTGATAATTTGTGTTTTAAAAAGTATGCTGTAAAAACCAAACTAATTTTAAGAGAAAACTAAAACTAAACCATAAACTAAAAAGAGAAACTAATTTCACAAATAATAAAATAAATAAAGATTAAAACAGAGAAATTTATAAGCATCTCAGTTAATAGTTTAAACTTGATTAATTTAAAAGCATTTCATTTAATGCTAATAATTTTTTCTATATTGCCACATTGATGTAGTGCACAGTTTAATTAATTGTGGTTAGTTGCACCTTAAATCATTTAAGGTGCAACTGTTATATCGGCATTGGTCAAAAGTTCAAATCCTACCAATGGATAATTTTTTTGTTTGTTTTGTTTGTTTTGTAGACATTAAGAAATATCAGTTTCAAAATTTTAAATAATTAAGTTTTATAAGTAATTAAAGTTTAAGTAATTAAGCTTGGATTAAATAACTTGGAAACTTTTTTAATAAAAAGATACTAGTTTTATGCTTTTATTTTTTCTGGTTTATTTTTTTTTCATTTTATCATTTGTTAGGATTTTAATTTTTACAGTTTTTTAGTTTTTATTTCTCTTTACAGTTTATAGTTAGTTTATTTGTAATTTTAGTTTAAGCTTACATTATTTTATTCATCACATTTTTAAACGGGCTAACTTAAAGCATGCAAAGAACTATGGCCAAGTTGTCAAAACAAAACATGTTTGGTCATATAAGGCATGCAACAGCATGTCACTCCTGAGAAGGCTCGGATACTATCTAGATTTTAAGGGTTTTTATAGCACCAGAAAAAGATGTATTTTTTCATTGTTTTTAAAATTTATTTTCTATTTATAACTAAATATACTTTATGCTATGCACTTTTATTATATAATTAGTTCACAAAAGTTGTCTGTAATTGTCTTGTTATTCTTAGAAGTAATAAAAGTTACAGTTGTATTGAAAATTACATTTAATTTCTTAGGAACAAATATCTTCAGTTTACTATAGCTGTATTGAAACTAATATTTAGTTTATAAGATCTTTATAACTTTTACTTTAACAAAACCAGTAAACAAGGAAGAGAAGAAAGATTCAAACAGAAAATAAATGCTGTGTTGCAATAGAACATTATTTTAGGTAAAAAAAAAAAAAAAATAGAACCAAAGGAAATAAACAAACTATTTTATATGATACAAAAGCAACATAAATGGAAAAACATTTTAACTCATGTATATTAGTCCACATGTTCAACTTTAAAGCACAACTTTGTTTTGAAGGATGTATTTTTTAACTTCAGCAGTGAATGTTTCTCACAAAGTTTTCTTGGATTAAAGATATGAACCTACAAAATGTTTTTTTTTACTGAGAGCCTAAACTTGGCTGAACTTTTTGGTCAAAATATTTGTTGTTCATCCATGTCTTTTGCTTAACTCTTGTCTGCACAATAAATTGCAAGTGTGGCTCAGCTAACTCTGGTTAAATTTTAAAAGAAAAGTATTCTAGAAATTTGTTCTGCTTGATGATTTCTTTGAAGAATATATGTCCATTTATTCCAGCTAGATTGAGAGTATTTTGGAAAAAATTGACAGGTCATCGTCAGAATATATTTTTCCGGTCTTTTGGTCTATATATATACTATATAGCCATTTGGTCTACAACAGCTACTTTATCAGGGCGCGACAAATCGTTTTTTTTTCACGAACGTTGACGTTCGTATCTTAAATTATTGACGAACGTCTAATTTAAGTGATACGTGTCAAATAAGGGAGTTTTTTATTCAAATAAATTTTTATTCTAATTAATAAGCTTTTGGATATATGAAAGATGATTGAATTTAATCAATTGTCATATTTTCGAAACAATTTTTAACGCATTTGCAAAGTGCGCAAAATATTGATTTTTAATATGCAAAGATTGTAAACTGTTATTCAACGATGCAAAACTTCTTTTATTAAAATTTAGTTTGTTAAATTTATTTACTTATAAAATATAATATTTTCATGTATAAACGTGAAAAAATTAAAATAAAACGAACTAAAGAAATAAATCGCACAATGACGTCTCATTAATATTTATTCCCAAAGTCATAGCACAATCCAAGTCATTGCACTTTTTTTTCGCATGTTTAGTTTCTTTCTCTTCTTCTCCTTTACGTTTAATGCTACGTTCCTCTTTGCAATCTTTCTTTAACATCGAAAAGATGCTTAGTTGTTTTGACATTTTTTTTAAAACTTTAAAAATAATAGTATTTAATAAGTTAATAAAAATATCATATTATTGGTGTTGTTAAACGCACAATAAAAAAAATAAAATTTTAACAAACATAATAACTTTATATATTTTATTATGTATTTTTTAGCAAAATTTGAACATTAATTTGAACTTTTTTAAGTTTTAAAATGCAAACTAACATTACTTCACTTTAAAGAAAAAAAAAAAGAAAATAAAAGCACGCTATTAAAAAAAGCAATCGTTATTTAAGCATGGTTTATTTAAAGTAATTGCAAATGGACTCATTTTAAATAAAATTTTAAATGCTTTTTTAAACGCATGCAAAAACCATGCTCAAACTAATTACTTTCTTCGTTCCATTGTAGAAAATAGCTTCAGCGTGGTTTCTTTTAAAGTCTTTGAAAAAGCGTTTGAAATTTTCGTAATTAGTTGTTTTTTTGTGTTTTTTATAATTAATAAAAAACGATCGATAGTTAATTGTTTGGAAAAAAAAATTGCTATAGTAACGCGTTCATTTTTAAAAATTTTAGGCGAACGCCTACGTTTGCGTTAGGAAAAGTAAAGGAACGTGACGTTCGTTTTTCTGTCTTTTTTTGTGCAGACGTTCGCGCGTTCGTCGATTTTTCGCGCCCTGTTTATACGTAAATTCATTTTAAAATTGGACTGTTTCTGGAGTTTTCTTAGCAATATCAAGAATAGGGTGCATCAAACGCCCCATACTTTCAAAAATTGATCTGTCCCTATTCTTAAAACTTTCTATTGGTACTCACAAGGCACTCTGTTAAATTTGTTCAAAATTGAATGAGATTTAAGGGGCCACCTCAAATCTGAAACTTGCGACGAGACTCTAAACAGAAGAAAAAAAAGTTTTTCAAATGTATGTCATGTTGGGTCTCAAAAGAAGCGAAATTTTATAAAAAAATTTCAAAAACAATAAAAATTTTACATAATATTTATTATTATAAGTTTTATTGCATAAAAATTATTTTTTAAAAACCATTTTTTCATGGTTTTTGGTCGAAATTTTTTTTCAAGGTATTTTAAACAAAAAATCATAACTATTTTTGAAATTTTTATAAAGTTTCGCTTCTTTTGAGACCCAACATGACAGACATTTAAAAAACTTTTTTTTCTTCTGTTTAGGGTCTCGTTGCAAGTTTCAGACTTAATGTGGCCCCCCTAAATTTCATTCAATTTTGAAAAAATTTAACAGTGTCTTGTGAGAACCAACAGATGGTTTTAAGAATAGGGGCAGATCAAATTTTGAAAGTATGGGGCGTTTGATGCCCCCTAATCAATAATGGAACATATTATAGTGTGCATCATTTTCCTTTATTTTGCTCTGGTAGACAGTGAGTGTCATAACGTCTGACTTATAAATATGAATTAAATGATGCTATTTCTGATTGAAAAAAGTAATTTTGTTGGAATTTTCAGTTTCAAACAACTTAAAGCAAAATTCATTTTATTTTAAAGTTCTTTGTGTAGTAACAAGCCATGTTTTAAAGCGTAAAATGACACTGTGCAGGGGTGTGCAGGTTATCACAGAAAAAAATGAATTGAAATATGTTTAAAACCATTTGTATTACATCACTAAAAATTTGATCACAGAAAAATAAAACATTCTACATAAAAAGTTCAATGTTGTTCAATATAGCCTCCTCTGAAATCTACTACACTCTTCAGACACAAAGGCACAACATTGCAGCTTCATCACACTATTCCAAATACAGATTCTTCCATATCTTTTAGTTGTCTACACTGACAAAAAAATCTTCACAATCAAGTCTGAGCCCTTACAGATTCTACCATAGAGTTCTTGGGAAGTTTAAAAGAACAGTCTTGGTAAAGTCCAAATTTCCATTGGAAATTTGGACTATACCAAGAAGACAGCATCCTATAGAAGTGATGGTATGGGTATGGTGTTTGTTCAGGTGGCTCCAAAACTCCACATGTCTTTGTTCCCGAATATGTCAAGATGAACCAAACAACTTGAGTTGACTTAAGCTAACTTGTTTCCTTGGGCCAAAAAGAAAATTGATAATAATCCATGGGCCTTCATGCCAGATTCTACACCTGCTCACAGTGTCATGAAAACTGCGACCTCTCTCTGAAAGAATACTCCCCACTTGTGGTCGCCTTTCATGTGGCCCCTTTCTATCCCAGATATGAACCTTATGGGCTTTGCCATTTAGGGTTTCATGCAATCAAAGAAGGCTCTCAAAACATATCAAAATTTAGCTGCTCTCAAAGCAGAAGTAAAAAGGATATGGAAGAACCTGTGTCCGGACATGGTGCGACGAAACTGCAATGCAGTTCCTGTGTGTCTGAAGAGTGTATTAGATTCCAGAGGAGGCTATATTGAACAAAATTGAACTTTTTATGTAGAGTAATATTTTATTTTTTTGTGATCAAATTTTTAGTGATGTAATACAAATGGTTTTTAACATATTCAAGTTAATTTTTTTCTGCAATAACCTGTCTACCCTGTAAATTACTTTAAAACTACTAAATGATGTTATGATTTTATGTAGAGGTATAAACAATTAGAAAATTATTAGAAAACTATTAGAAAATGCGGTATAAAAAGTACTCTTATGTACATAGTATAACTTCATATATTTGCAGAAGTTTTTATAGTTTTAACCCCAAGCCCACAATATAAGTAATAGATCTATTAATAGCTATATAAATATGTGGTTTACAAACACAAATAGTTTTTTTTTTATTCTGTGAAAAACAATTAATTTTAAAATTTTTTTAAAAAATCACTTACTGACACAATAAATAAATTTATCACATCAAAAATATAATTATCAGCCAATACATAATTAAGAAATATAAAGATGTTGGTGGTGATAAATCCAAAAATGGCAGAATAAACCAATTTTTGATTATGAATAATTAATTTTTTACTTATATATTTGTTTTGTATGTTTGGTACACAATTATCTATAAGATAATTAACTAAACTATGATGTCAGTAAGCTTTGATATTGAGATTTACAATATTTTAGATACATATATATTTTTAGTTGCCTGTCGAGAGTGCTGCAATGAAAAAAAAAGTTATTTCAGAAAGGGAGTTTGTTTATAGCAAAACTGCATGTGAAGTTACCAAGAGATTGGAATATGAAGAGGCTATTAAAAGGCCTTATTTTCATGTGAAACCTTTAGAAGTAACACAAATATCAAATTGGAATAAATATCTGGATTATGAAATACAAGAAGGTGAAAAAAAGCGTATTTTGTTTTTATTCGAAAGATGTTTAGTGGCATGTGCTATGTATGAAGATTTTTGGCACAAAGTAAGCTTCTTTTTAAGGATTTAAATTTGTATTGTTATATACTTTTCTTTATTTGATTTTTAAGCATACACACATTATTACACCCACAGACAATCACACACAAACACACACACACATCACTTTGATTTTTTCTTTTATTTGTTTTAGCATTTTAATGAAACTTATTTTTTGTTGCTATTTTTATTATTTATTTAATTGTTGTAATTAGAATTTTTTTATTTTATATATATATACACACAGGTGTACATGCGCGGTCGCCAGACTGTACTAGAAGACCAATTTTGTAAAGGGCGACTAAAAATATTCCTTTAATGTTATAAAGTTGCCTGAAAAGTCAACAATTGATTTTTATTGGCATTTTTTTTTTTTTTAACTCAAAAATTCTATAAAAAGAAAAGTAATAATCTAAAATTACAATAAAACTATATTTTTATACTATATTTTAGTCACTGTGTCAAAATTTATTTTCTGCATTTTCTATTATTAAGTTTTATTAGAACAATATAATTTATTACAGCATAAGTAATTGTACAAGTGTTTAAACATGTTCATAAAATACTTCCTAAATAAAAACTAATAATTTTATTGTTTAAACAATAATACTATTTTATTTTTATTTTTTTTACAAATTATATTTAAGGATTTAGAAATAAAGTAATAGAACTAAATTTACCAAAAAAAATACTTTGATAGGCCTTGTTAAGAAGTGCTACACACAGGCTTAGTCAGGAAGGCGTGTGATTTCATGGCTTTATATGACCACTCAAGAAATATTTTGTTTTGATGATTTGACCACAGTTTTAACATTTTAATAAAGTGCTGAAAACTTAACTTAGTTATAAAATATATCTAAAAAAATAATAAAAAATAAATTAAAAAAAGCTTATTAATCAATAACTAAAACAAAAATAAAAAAATAAAAACAAAACTTAACTTACATTTGAAATAACTTTGAATCTTTACTAATGTTTTTTATTTATAGACGAGACACTATTAGTTTTAAGGTAAAACTAATAGTGTCTCGTCTGCTTTGTTACGGCACCATATAAAAATTATATTGATATTAAAAAAACAAATAAATAAAAAAAGTGCTAATCAACAAAAAAATGTAAATAAAAAACTTCATTGTGCATAGTGGTATTTTTTAAAAAAATGATCAAACTTAACGAGGAAACATTTTTTAATAAAGCTTGGGGGGAGGGGACACGTTTCACAAAAATGACAACTGACTTGCGAACAAAAAAAACATGTTTTTTTTTTATTATATAGACATAGCGAAACCCTTTTAAACAAAGTAACAACTTTCAACTATTTTTTAATAAATACGCACATTTAAAAGATAACATCAACAAAAAAAACTTTAAAATTCTTCGTAGTGATGTAAACAAAAGAAAAATAATTATATCTTTACTTTTGTCAGAAATCCAATATCAGAAAGCAAATGAGGAAAAGTGAAGATGAAAAAGAAAAATAATGAACAAAACTATTCCTTTAATTTATAATTTGATTTAATTTGTTAATAATTCAATTTTTTTTTATTTAGGCTAAAGAAAAAAAATCATAAAAATTATAAAAATAAAATTATATTTATATATTTTTTTCAACTTGCATTTTCCAATAAAAAATTGTTTCATTTCGAGTATATTAACTTTATTCTATAATTTTTTTTATTTACAGACGAAAGAAAAATACATTAATACTTTAATGTAAAAAAATCATTAGCAGTGAATTGTTTCTTTCTTTAAAAGAGTTTGATAATATAATAACATTAGTAATGATCAAAGTTATTTAATTTAAACGGCTGTCTTTAATTCAAAGTTTGTCTTTTTTTCTTCTTAACAAATTTATACAACTTTCATTTTCAAAGTATAGATGAAATTTATACAACTTTAAATTAATACTATACTTTAAATTAAAACGTTAACAGTAACTGTTACTTTATTTAAAAGCATTTCACTAATATAAAAATGTTAGTTAAGATAAAAGTTTTTTATTTTTGACGTAATTAAAAATAATTTTTTTTAGTGCATTTTTAAAATGTTAAAAACCGTGGTCAAATTGTCAAAATAAAATATTATTTGCGTGTTCCTATAATGGTGTGCAATCGCACGCCTTCCTGGCTAAGCCTGGCTACACAGCTCGCTTTTTTTGTAAATGTCAAAAGCTTTCAGTTGAGCAAAAACTTTTTAGTAAAATGTAAACATTGAAAGTGTTTCAGTAAAACAAAGAAACTTTTATATTTGGAATTTTTAAATTATTTTAACTTCGCTTATATGATGTTTATTCAGAAAATGTTAGATTTTAAAAAAAGCATTTAACTGTAACTGAGAATTTTTTAAATAGTTTAAATTAAATTAAACTTTAAAAGATTAAATTATTTAGTTTTAAAAGATTAAAATATTTTGTTTTAAAGGAATGTAAAAGAGTGAAATGTTGAATGTAAAGTTTTAAATGAATGTAAAAAAGTTTTTAATAAGCAATTTTTATTAAAGAAGTTTTTTTTCTAATTGTCTGCTAACTAATTTATTAGGTAAAATATAAGTCTTTCCATCATAGATAAACATAAATTTTTATTAGCAAAAGGAAATAAAAACTTTTTTTTTCCTTGTAAAAAGGAAAAAGTGCTTTTGTTCAAAAGAATTCTTTTCAAAAAAATACTTGTTTCTTATTAATTCAATATTGTGTAAAGTCCTTTTTTATAAAACACAATTTATGAACATAAATTATGTTTACAAATATCATATTGGTAACTGATAAAATCTATCTATAAATTGATTATAATCTTTATTAAAAATATGTCATTAAATACATAAAAATTAAAATAAATAAACAAATTTTGATAATAAAAACAAAAGATTATAGTCAAGTATAAATTATTTTAAGAAATAAATTATAAGGAAATATAATCTTTTTTAAATACCAAATTAAGATTCTATTAGTAATTTGTTAAATTAATTTAAATAATTTTTATTGTGGTTTAAAATTAAATTAAATTACAATGCAATGCTTTAAAATACTTTCAAACTATCAATAGTTTTTAAGCTCCTTTAACAAATAAGATTTTAATAATTGCAACACATTAAAAGCAAAGGGTTTTAAAGTATTTGTAAATTATTTTTTTATTAGAGAACATATTTTTTTAATAAAATAAGCGCTAAATTCAAGTTAAACCTAATGGTGTATATATTGACATAAACTCAAAATAAAAAAGTAAATGTTACCAATAGTTTACAATATTACTTTTATTTACGCAAATTACTTCTAGTCTATACTTATCCCTATAGTGAAAAATCACTAGAAATTGCAAAAAATCGCTGGATGCAAAAGTTTTTATAAAAAATAGCGAATGGCAACTCAAAAAGTCAGCAGGTGACCAAAATCAACAAACTGGTTACTTTCAGGACTGTACACCCTTGATATATATATATATATATATATATATATATATATATATATATATATATATATATATATATATATATATATATATATATATATATATATATATATATATATATATATATATATATATATATATATATATATATATATATATATATATATATATATATATATATATATATATATATAGACACACACACACACACATACACACACACACACACACACAAACACACAGGAACCCAGACCTGTTTTAGTACTGCTGGAGTGGTGTGGGTGCCCAAAAATGGTTTTATCTCTACATTTTTCTTTTGCTTATAACAATAGAATGTATAAAAAGTTTGCTTTTTTGAAAGATAAAATGGTTTTAAAAAATCCATTCATAGTAAAATTAACTTTCGTTTTTTGGCAGTTAACTACTTTTGATAATAAGTAAACAAAAGTAAAAAATTTCCGTAAAATTTAATTTTTGAATGAAAGAACTTTTGATCTTTAGCTTTTTATTTTAGTTTACATGAGGAAAACAAAAAAAATGCAAGTGTAATTTTTTTCTGAAAGTTTTGTTTCTTTTCCATACTCTTTTTGACTAATAATAAGAAAATTGAATATAATTGCTTAAAAATTTAATTAAAAATTTTTAAACTTCAATGCCTTTAATGTTTAAAAAAACCCATAGTAAATGCAACTTATTTATTAAACATAATTTTTTTAAATTATACTTAATGATTAAAAAATATACAATATATTTTTTAAAATATATGTTTTTTAATCAAAAAATATATCATTTTTAAAATTATGTTTACCATAATTATCTTTTCATTATTTATCTTTAATTTAAAAGACGCCTTAAAAAATTAAAAACCTTAATCACTTAAAAATTAAAAACAAATTAAATAAATTATTAACCTTTGGTAAAAGTTAATTGAATTTGTCAATATATAAATCAAAATTTTTAAAATTAAAATAATAGTAAATACGTTTATTAATTGCTTTTTTATTCAAATAGTTATTCAAATACAAGATGTAAAACTATTTTGTTAATTTTTCAAATATTATGTGATTTAATATATGTAAATATTATGCAATGTAAATATTGGTTTAAAAAAATATTTAGACTATTTAAATATTTAATTACTAAATTGTTTGCTTTTCCATTTAAAAAATGCATTTTGTTTAAAATTATTGTATTAAAAGAAATACAAATTCGCTAATTTAAAAAATGCATTTTGTTTAAAATTATTGTATTAAAAGAAATACTAATTCGCTAATTTTAAAGACTTAAAAATATTTTAGTATGTATAAAATTCAGTCATGAAGAACTATTATTAAAATAAAAACTTAAACAAGAAACTGAATTTAAAATTTAAAAAGAACAAAATTAAAATTTTGACCGTCCAAAAAAAAAATTAAGCATCGATTCTATGTCTTAGCCAATTGAATTGACCACTCGCCATTGGTTTCTTATTTTCCATACTGAAAGTATATAAAATGCGGGGATGACAATATATTAAAAAATATATAAAAATATCTAAATATCCATGCACACCAACTGCAAAATAAAATAGGCAAAGTTATAAAGACTTATTAGGATAGTGCACTGCTATTTAATTTAAATTTTTGTTTATATTTTTTGTATGTATGTATGTATGTATGTATGTATGTATGTATGTATGTATGTATGTATGTATGTATGTATTTATGTGTATGTATGTATCTATGTAGATACACACACTCAGATGCATACACACACACCAGCACACACAGATACACAGACGTAAAGTTAAATTTATTGTTTAGTATATAGATTTTGCTGAAAAGTATGATCCAGTATTAACCTACAGTATATTTTATCGCGCATGCAACATTCATTTAATAAAACATTATAAAATACATCTTCGTTGGTCAATATTTGAGGAGAAGCAAAATAGATATGATTCTGCTGCTCTTGTTTTGAAAAAACTAGATACAAATTTTCCAGGTTTGATTCTCATAACACAAAGAAGGGCTGGATTAGCACGAAGGATGAAAAAGTATGACGATGTTGTTAGTGTATATGAAAATGCAATCAGTAGGGCTGAAAAAATAGAAGAAAAAATATTTTATAGTATTAAATTTTCAAGGTTTCTAGGAAAGGTAACTCATTTTTTAGATTAATCAAGAATATAAAATAACAAAAACAATAAAAATAATTTTATTTCATATTGTATTGTTTTGTTTCATATTGTATTAAATAAAAAATTTTCCACATCTTGTATGCATATAACAGACAATTAAATGTATAATGTGCAATCTAAATGCAGCTTTTATGCATTTAGATTACATTATTTAATATTTTAGGTCAGGATGTTTTGAAAGATATTTGTACTCTTTTTATTGTTGCTTGCATTTTAATATGTTTTAGGTTGCAAATAATAAAGAAAAAGCACGATCTGTTTTATGGAAGGCTTTACAACTGGGGAAGGTAATTTTGTTAAAAGTAATAAGTATTAACATGTCAAACCTCTTTTTTTAACAATATTTGTTTTTACAAAACCTTTGTTTTTAACAAAGATGTGTTTAACATGCAATATATTTTTCTAAAAAAAGTTGATGTAAATTTGTAATAGCTAAATTTTAGTTTAACATTTACAATTTTGAATCACAGTTGCACCATTGTAGTAAGAAAGCTTTTTCTCAATCTTTTAAATCAAATATGCAAATTGATGTTATTTATGCTGTTGCTTAGCTTTATAAATTATTAATAATAGCCCATTTTATTCTACACTGATAATTCAAAATTGATTTATTATTAATACTATATTATTAATAATAATGATTTTTATGTTATATTGTGTGGTCAGCAACAGCAACAAAAACAATACTCTGGAAGTTTAAATTAAAAATACATTTCGATAAATCTTGATGGTTTACTCTTATGTTGCAATGCTAAAGCTAATAGAGAAAAAAATTTTTATTCATTAAATTGAATAAGAATAGAAAAAAAAAATATAGGTCTGCTTAGTTTAAAAATTGCTTTCTATTTTTTTGACTTTTGTTACTTGATTTTACCTTATTGATATTACCTTATTGATCATAATATTTATCAGTAAATGTTGTTGCTACCTTAGTTTGAGATTCTGGTTCTTGATACTAAATCAGTTTATCCATTTTTTTTGCAATGTGTTATTGTCAAGGTTGTTTAAAATTATTTTTATACTTTAAAAACAATGTTTTGTTGTCAAAATGTTTTAAGTTGAAAATTTTTTTAACAAAAGGCCTGGTTTGTTTAAGTTGTTGTGGTTTCTTATAAAAAGAAGTAGATCATGTGCATAATTAATACTTAGTTTGTTTGGCTGTCAATGCCGATTTATTCCATTTAGTAAATTATAAACTTTTAATACAAACATTTATTGCAAAACAAGTTATGGGCAATAATTTTTTAAAAATAGTCTTATCAATTATTATGTTGTTAAATCAGATTTAACATTTCAATGTTTTATGGTAGAACCTTTGTATAAATTATTTTTTGCTGACCTAATGCTGACCTCTAACAGTTTAGGTCAACAATTTATTGCCAACCTCATTTTTTTTAATTCTGAGGGCTATATATGTATATATCATCGGGGATAGTGCAAATCCGCTTAACTAGCATTGGCTACTATATTTGGATATTATAGTTTTAACACCAAATGTATATTGTTGAGATTACAAAAAACATGAAAAATACTTTTATACTAAAATGAACCCAAAATCAGTTAAAATAAAAAATATATAAAGTTTTAAACTTCTCCATTAAAAAAAATATGATATACATATACATATATATATATATATATATATATACATATATATATATATATATATATATATATATATATATATATATATATATATATATATATATATATATACATATATATATATATATGTATATATATATATATATGTATATATATATATCATAGTATAAAGTATATACATATATAAGTATAAAGTATATATATATATATATATATATATCATAGTATAAAGTATACACATATATAAGTATAAAGTATATATATATATATATATATATATATCATAGTATAAAGTATATACATATATAAGTATAAAGTATATATATATATATATATATATATATATATATATATATATATATATATATATATATATATATATATATATATATATATATATATATATATATATATATATATATATATATATATATATATATATATATTATAGTATAAAAAATATATATCATAGTATAAAGGTTGCTGGTGAATTTTAACTCAGATTAGGCTCAATTTTTCTCAAGTAATTGTTATCACAGCAATCTAGATCTTCCTATATTAATAAACATATAGCAAATCAATTGCAAAATGAGCATCTGCTAAGATTGCATCTCTTTATCGTGCTCGCCACTTTCTTACTTAGGATCCTATTCTTTATCTCTATAAATTTTAAATCTGTCCTTGTATAGAATACTGTTGCCATAACTGGAACTGATCTTCCAATGATGCCCTTTCTCTTTTAGACAAGGTGCAAAAATGCATTGTAAACATAGTTGAACCTGCCTTGCAACCATTCTCCAACCAATTACATATTTTTGTAATGTTGCTTCTCTCTCTTTTTTTTATAAATACAATAATAGGAACTGCTCTAAAGAGCTAGTGTCTCTTGTGCCATCTACTAAATTCATTCTTGTGTTACTTGTCATTCAATTAAGTCTCATCCTTTTACTGTGACTATTCCTAAGTGCTCTAAAAGTTCTTTTTTGTCTAGTTTTATTCCTTGAACATCAATCCTTTGGAATTCGCTTTGATTCATATAATTTGCAATCTTTCAAGTCATCTGTTAGTCTCTATAAATTTCATCTTTTCTCTTCCAGTAACTTCCAACTCTGATAGTGGTTGTTTGAAATAAAGATGTAAAAAGAAAATATATATACCTATATACATACATACAATGTTTTAAATAATAATTAATTAGTATACATTGATTAATATACAGACATATAATTCTTAATATATCTTTGAAATCAGAGTTTAATTTGCTGTGTCGTTGTGAAGCCAATTTAATTTTGTGTTGATTTTATCTTTAATAAATGTTAAAGATGGTTGTTGTATTTTTGGCGCTGTGCAATCAATTTATGCAGTGCTTAAATGAAGTAGAAGAGGAAAGAAGATAAGAAAAGATTCCACACATTCCTGGAACACATTTTAAATTCCGGGGGAGGAGAAAGATTGGAAAATATTTTGACAAATTCCCAATTTTGTCAAAACGCTGTATCAAATTTTTTCTGGTTAACACTCTGATACATACATACATACATACATACATACATGCATACGCACACATATATATTATATATATATATATATATATATATATATGTATATATATATATATATATATATATATATATATATATATATATATATATATATATATATATATATATATATAAAACCAAACCCTCAGTCAATGTAGCGTCACTTCCTTGTAGCAGGAGGCTATTAGATATTTGATGTAGCAGCACTTCCTTTTAGTAACAGGATGTAATATAGTCAATGTAGCAACACTCCATGCATATCTCACAGAAAAAAAACAACACCCCTTGCATGTTTTACCTATTTAATTATAAAACAATAAAAAAACAAACAACACTATTAATTAAAAAAAACATATTTTGTTGTTGTTTTTGCTGCAGTTTTATAAAAAATTATAAAACTGAGGAACACAGCTAGTGACAGGAACCCAATCAGATATTGTTTTTCCTAAAACAACACGTTGTCGGCGATTTGAAAGGAAAGAGTTTATCCAAGAAGAAAGTTTACCAACAATTCCATATTTTTCTAGTTTAAATAATAAAGGTTCATGCTGTACTTTATTGAAAGCTTAAGCATAATTAAGGAATATGACATCTGTCGATTTTTTATTTGATTTTGCAAAGGTTATAAAATCCATAGTTTTCAAAAGATTTGTGACACTTGATTTATTTGTGACAAATCTGTGTTGACAGGTAGATATAAGATTATTATGAGATAAATGTTCTGTGATTTTATCTCTAATTTTTTTTCAAGAATTTTACAGGTAACAGAAGTGAGGAAGATTGATAATTTGCTGGATCTGTTTTGCAGCCTTTCCTATATAATAGAGTAACATTGGCTTCTAACCAGGACTCTGGTAATTCAGATTGATCAATTGAATGTTGAAATATAAGCAATAGTGGTTTGGCTAATGATTTTGTTCACTTTTGTAGAACTAAAACGATTTGTTTGGATCTAATTTAAGTAAGTGTGATTCTATTAGAGATTGGTCTATTTTTAATGGACTGATTGTGTTTGATGTTTTGTTTGGGAAATGTGGTAGTGTGTGTACATTTCCGGTTGTGAAAACAAATTGAAATTGCAAATTTAGTACATTTGTTATATCCACTTTCTTTATGCTAATATCTGATTCAGTGATCAATGCATTAATAGGGCTTGATGATGAACGTTTAGAATTAATATAGTTGAAAAGCCTTTTTGGATTGGATTTATCACTTGCTAAATCTTCTTCAAAGATTCTAATTTCTGAAAAAGTATACTTTTTGATTTGATTACAAACTGTATTATAACGATTTGCTAGATATGGAACTTTCCACTATGTATTTCTATTTTTGTACCATTTTTTGGTTTTTTGGTTTTCTTAACTTAACAATGTCAATTGTGATCCAAGGTTGATGCTTTTTTATTGTGTGTTTTGATATAGGAGGTATGCATTTAGCACATAGTTTATTATGTATATCTGTCCATTTTTTGTATGAATCACTGATACTTAAATTTTTAAACATAGCAATCCATTCATAACTATTAAAAGCTTCATTTAGTTTTGCATAGTTACCTGTTTTATAACATAATTTTGAGAAAGCAAATGGGGTTGGGTAATTTGATTTTTCAATGATGAGATTCCATTTGAGCAGCAAGTGACCTTTTGTTGCACATCCAAGATGCGGATCAAAGATTATTTTACTTATTTTGTCTGGAGAGTCTGTTATAACAAGATCCAATGTATTAATGCATTTATCTTTCTTAAATATATGTGTTAATGCACTTATCTTTTTTAAATATATGTGTTAATGCATTTATCTTTCTTAAATATAAATGTTGGAGAGCGTATGGATTGATACAAAAGCAAATTATTGAGTGTGTCAGTAAAGTTTGTTTCAATTGGTTTGCTTGGTCCTTTGAAGTTTGTCAAATAGTCATCATTCCTAACAATGCTAGGATAATTAAAATTGCCTGTGAGTAATATTCCTGAAAAACGCTTACTATCAATAGGTTTTTTAGCTAAAGTTATACAATTGTTAATTTCTTTAGCAATTTTTTACATCATTATATACAACTAATCAGCAACTTGTTACTTTTACTTATTGGGAGTGAAAGCCATAGTTGTTCAGAATGTTTAAAAGTAAAGCAAGAATAAATTTAAGAAAAGCTTAATTTAATTACATTTAGGCAAGTTCTTGAATAAATAGCAACTCCTCCTCCATGACCATTTCTGTCATGTCTGAAAAGATCATAATTTTTTATACTCAGAGATGATATTTTATTTAACCATATTTCGATAATAAATATATCTATAGATGTGGAGAGAGCAATATCAGATAGTTCAAGTAACTTTTCTTTGTTTAAATATGTAGAATTTGTATAAAGACATTTAAACTTGAGCGAGTGATTATTATTTGAGAAGTTATTATTATTATTGATAGAGTTTAGAAAAGCTTTTTATTGTTTTTACTGTAGAATTTTTGCTAAAAGTTGTTGTTGAGGTTTTTGAGCATCAGCTGTTTTGGTATGTTTCGGTAATGGATGTTTTTTAATTCCGTTAAATAAACAGGTCTGTGGGACATCAACGCAGCGGACCCGGTCACTGCGGATGACAAATTTAAAGGGCTAATCAAGAATACCATTTTTGTGTAGATCTTCATTAACTTCCTGTCTTTCTTTGAATAACTTAACAAACTCAGCTTATTCAATTATAGTTCTTTCAGGTGGTATGTAGATGTTTTGATATATACCTTTACAAAGCTATTTGGTAGCTGCAATTACTTGGTTGCGTGCATTGTTATTTTGAAATTCAACTATAACTGTTGGTTGCAGCTGTCTTTTTACATTTATTTTGCAGTTTGAACTAAATACTTTAACATTGGCGTTGAGACTAAGTGAATGCAAAATATCTTGAACTGTCTTAGTTTTATCTTCTTTTTTTTTCAAGTAGATTACTTTTGTTTGATGAGATGCCAATAAATATGTTTTTTTTAGACTTATTTTCACTAATTTTTTAATTTTCTGATACTGCTTTTATGAATGTAAGATTTTGGGGGTGCCAGGTTTAGTGAATGATGAGCCAATATCCAGATATGAAGGTCACATTGATTAAGTGGTGCATTTTGCTGTTAAACTTTCCAGTTTGGACATTTTGTCATTTAGTTCGTTTATAATATTATCCTTCTTCGCATTTTTACTACGAAGACATTCAACTTCAGATTTAAGTTTAACCACACATTGTTTCAATTCAAACAACCATTCATCCAAAACTTTGATGGAAACATTTTCCATGTTTCTGGCTGGATCAACTGATGGACCATTAACCTTTTATAATTCACCAGGATGCTTTATATATATTATTTATATATCTATATCTTAAAAACACAAAAAAAACATTAAACAAAAATTTTTCTTGTGTTTTAAATAATATGTATATTATTTATTTATTAATTATTTTATAATAAAACTCTGTAATATATATTAAATAAAAAAACTTTTGAAAATGTGATATTTATATTACAAAACATTTCAAGATCAAAAAAAATTTGTGTTTTTTTAAACAAATGTTTACTCATTTTATGCTACTACAACATTTAAGAAATATATTTAAGGACTTTGCAAACTTATCTTGAGCAAAAAAACCTCGTTAAAAATAGCTCCTCATAAACTTTCTGAAAAGTTGCAAACTATTCAAATTTAATTTGCAATATATTGGAGTCAACGTACCACATGCAAATTATGATAAAGTCTTGATTAAAATATGATTGCTTAAAAGTGCTTTGTATAAATAAATATATGAAAAGAAATTATTGGATAAAAATTTAGAATCTCAAATCAGAAAAAATTGTTCAACTTTGAAATGGTAGCTTTTTACTTAAGTAATCTATATTTCAAAAAGTAATCAATATTTTAAACAATATTTTAAAAAGGAAACAATATTCAATCATTATAATTCATGAAAATTCATTCACAAAATCTATTGATTTTTTCATTACTTTTGTTTGATGAGATGCCAATAAATATGTTTAAACCATTAAAAATCAAAATATTACTCAAAATATATCTTAAAATACTTTAAAATATATAAAATATACTGTTGAAATATTATTTAGAAACATTCCATCAACATAGCAACTGATTTATTCTTTAAAGATAAAACTTATTTAAAATAACTTTCTAAAACTCAGTTTAAGAAATTCAGGTTTTAACTTCCAGTTCTCATTTACTGTTTGATAGAAAATATTAAAGTCAAATAAATGGTGTTACTATGGGTTTTCCTTTATTTCCCATCTTAGCTAATATTTATATCAGATTTCATGAGCAAATAGTTGTCTCATTTCTAAACCAATTTTTTATAAACAGTATGTGGATGACATAATTGCTATTTAAAATTCTGAATATGAAGCCCAATGATTTTTATAATCACCTTAACAAACAACATAAAAATTTAAAATATTTGATGGTAAATAAACAAGAAAACCAGATTGCTTTTTTAGAAGTACTTATTAAAAAATCCTTTTTGACATTAGTTCATCATAAAAAATCTTATACAGATCTTTTACAAAAATTTTAGTTTTTTCCCTCTCACTACAAATTTAGACTTAAATGTTGTTTAATTGACCAAACATGTAAAATTGATAATACTTGGCTGGATTTGATAAAGAGAAAAATCTTTTGTTTTACAAAATAATCACCTAAAATTATTGACACTGAACTTAAATTGTATAATATTAGGAAAATGAACCCAACTGTTTCTACCTTAGTTAATAACTAAAATATAAGATATTTCAAGCTTCCATTCATTCAAGTTTCCATTCACTATAATTTGTTCTAGTTATCAGGGATTATCTTTTTAATTTTGAGTCTTTCTGGATATCCAAAAGGTATTCCATACATACAAGTTCTTGTATATATTTTCGTTATATATTTGTTTTCCAAGCTTTTTCACTCATCACTTATACAGAAATTAAGAAAAGTTTGAGAAAATAAATGAAAACAAATCAGCTAAAAGCAAAATTAAAGGGGAAAATATATACCAGATTTTTTCTGGATATTTTACTTTAGCAGCTTTCCGGATTTTTAAAATGTGACCAGGATGATCTATGAGTTATACAACTATAAAAATAAATATAAAAATTGTTAATAAATATTGCAAAGGTGTTCTAATAAAATTAATATTGACTGCTAATAAAATATAAAATAATTTTTGTTTAAAATATTCACTTCCTAAACTACATAAATCTCATGTTTACAAGTTTTCTTGGGCTGTTTGTTATGTAAGTTAAATTGGAGAGACCTCCAGACATTTTACAACTAGGATAAATTAGCATTTTAAAAGTTAAAAAAAAAATTCTATGTATATAAACATTTAAATACATCAATTAATTGCATAAATTAAAGAGATCATTTAAGATATGTTTGGTTGAAGCAGTGTCTAAAGTCAAAGATTTTAGGTACTACTCCAACCAAACATGTCTTAAATATTAAGTAAGGAATTTCCCCATAAAATGGCAAAATTTTTTACATAATAGACATTAATTCAATATACCAATAATATACCATTAATTAAATTACATTAGTATCTATTTAATATTTGTTCCAGAGTTTTAATGTAAAATCAAATCTTTTGAAAATGTAATAATTATTTTACTAACCATGTCAATATTCAAAAACATAGTGTTATTTAAAAAAATATTTATTCATTTTATGATAATTTTTATAATAAGTTACATCTTTTTTTCTTTTTTTCAGAACCACAAAAGACTCTATCTGCAATTAATGGACTTGGAAATGTATTGCGGAACTGTTGAAATTAATCATGTTACACATCTTTTTGAAGCAGTTGATAATGATCTAAATATTGGACTTACTTTTCAAGAAATGTTTCAACAAAGAATTGTTGAGTTTTTGCAGGAATTTTGTGACGATATTAATGTTATAATTCAAGTTGAGGAGAATTATAAACTGACCAAAATAAAAAGAGAGTCATTAAAGCGTTCAAATCAAAACAGGTAAACAACCTGTCCATGTCCTCAATAAATTATGCTCTAAATAGTGTTGTTTTATTTTGTAGGGGTAAGTATGTATGTATGTATATATATCAAAGAAAGGCGTGTAGTCGCACGCCTTGAACACCCACGCCTAAAGTAATTTTAGACAACTTGACCACGTTTTTATATAGTAAGCATTTTAAGATTTTGCGGCAAAATAAAGCTATAAGAAACTAGAGAATAAATCAGGAATACTCGAAGAAAAGAACCGACTATACAAAATAGAAAATCTTAATAAGATAAGTTAAAAAAAATTTAATAATAAGAAAAAGAAAACTGTTTAAAAAAATAATATACCTAAATATTTACTATTTTTTTCTTATTTTAAGTTTGTTATTTTCCACTACCATAATTAATACAAGTCGAGCAAAAAAGTAGATAAGAATATATCGAAAACAAAAATATTTTTTAACATACACTTTTTTCAGTTAGTATATTAAGGAAATACTTTATAAATTGCGCTTGAAACACGTACAATTTTTAAATTTGTTTTTCAAAAGTCTTTGCTAGACTTTACTGTTTTTATTAATGCACAGGAAAGCAAGAAAACTAATTTCTATTTATTTGTAAAAAATTCTTTTTTTTTTAACAAATTTTTTATGTAAAAAAAAAATGAAACAATGCTGTAAAATTTTGTAGGCTAGTGTATTGTTAATTTACTGAACTTTCTTAACGAACTTTTTAGAAGCCTATTGAAAACATTTGTTTAAGTTTTTAAATATATTTTTTTACCCTAACCCTAACCCTGACCCTAACCCTGACAAATAAGTAACAATCTATTTTCTTATTTTCCTATTATATAAGTATTGAAAAAAAATGTCAAATATAGCAAAAACTTTTTTAAAAGCAAAACGATGTAAAAATGTATAAATGAAATAAACAAATAAATGTAAGAAAATGTAATAAAAATATTAAAAAAAACTTCTTATAGTTCTAGCATACATAAAAAATTAGTTTCTTAATCATATATGTATATATAGATATATGTATGTATGTATATATATGTATATATATATATATATATATATATATATATATATATATATATATATGTATATATATATTTGTATATATATATATATATATATATATATATATATATATATATATATGCATATATATATGTATATATAAATATAAATATATATATATATATATATATATATATATATATATATATATATATATATATATGTATATATATATATATATATATACAAATATATATATACATATATATATACATATATATATATATATATATATATATATATATATATATATATATATATATATATATATATATATATATATATATATATATATATATATATATATATATATATATATATATATATATATATATATATATATATATATATATATATATATACATATATATAAAAGGGGGGCTCATAAAAAGAAATTTTCTATAATGCTTTCGGGGTATGTGGAAAAATTGTCTCTATACATAAGTAATTTCTGTGTAAAATTTTAACACCCTAGTACATTGTCTTTTGTACTGGCAAGTGACTTAAAATTTCCAAAAAACCAAACCCTGAGTCGATGTAGCAGCACTCCATTGTCAGGCTATTGGATAGTCAATGTATGTATTTTTTGCTCTCAATAAAAGTTGCTGATGGAGACATTTTTTTTTTTTTACAAAAAAATGATGCTTACAGGGACAAAAAATTAACGAGTACACAAAAATGTCCCCGATAATGCTAATGTTCCTATCAGTCATTTAACTATTTATTTATGTGGAACTTTAATAACTTAATAAGTTTTTATTCTCTAAGCTTTAAATAATATTTTTTTAATCTTTTTAAAATCATTTTTAAGAGGATGCAATAAAAAGTTCATAAAATTAAACCTATAATTCAAAAAACCTTTTTATACATTAAATTTGTATATCATGGTTTTTTAAAATATTGCGATTTAATGTTCCCTTAACAAGTTTTTTTAGTTTGCATTTTTTTTTATATATAATTTTTTAAACTATTTTACAGATTTATAAAATTGTTAATGCTTACTTTAATGCTTACGTTTTCTAAGCTTTTTTTAAAAATTGGTTATTAAATTGTTTTCCCACTTTTGAGAGTATTTAAAAATACCAGAAAATTACACTGATTTTCTTCTTTGCAGTTTTTGTTGTTGAATTTCTGGCTAAATTTTTTGTTAGATTAAATTTTCAAATAGATTTTTTTGAATTTAATTTGTGTACTAAGGTTTTACTGAATTTAAATGGTGTTATTACTTGAACTTTTTTAATTTTTCACAATTCAAGAAAAATAAAAACAAACAAAGACCATTCAGAAAAGGAGTTACTTATGTAATATTTATACTTATGAAATTGACAAAAGGTTTTGATATTGTTACCATGTACCAATATTTTTTATACTCGACTCAATTTCTTATTTTTTTTTGTTCATAAACTTGTTCTAAAATTCTTTTTTTAACTAATTACAGTATATCAACTGATGCTTCATCAAAAGTTTTGAAATCAGATATTCCTCTCCCAAGTGAAGAGCCAAAAGTTATTGAAAAATATCCAACTTTTCCAGATAGAAATAATTCTTGGTTTGATTCAACAGGCGAGGTAAATTGTTAAAAAAGATTTCTTTTTTACACTGGTGTTAGTAATTTAGATTAGTGTGTTTTAACACCTCCTTTAGGTTTTTATTGAAATCATAAGTTTTCAAAAATTTTAACTCATTATCTCGAAGCATTCTAATATTATGGCAATTCGGAAAACTAATGATTTTGCTTATTTTGAACAATTTATTATCTTTTTAGAAAAAGACTTATTTCTAAATCCATATAAATAAAAAACAAATTATCTTAAATACTTAAAAATCTATAAAATGGCAGTAATCTACCTCAACTTTCGAAGAAATAAAAATTTATTTTACAAAAATAATTATTTTTGCCCATTTTGAAATTGCAAAAAAAAAAAACACTATAAAGTAAAAAAATCAATATTAATAAAGCAAATAAAAGTACACAATAGAAAAGAATACTCAAGGGAATGTGAAACTTATATTATTTTGTGAAAATATAGGTGGTAGGTATCAGTTTTGTAACACAGGGTTTAAAGTTAAAGAAGTTTGATTCTCCTAAAAAAACCTCTAGCCTTAAAACATTAAAATTAAGTCCATTATTTTACATCCAGTCACTAGGTGACTGGATGTAAAATAAATTTAACACTTGAAACTTTTAGGAATGTGTCTTTAATATAAGAAGAAGAAATACAGAAAAAATAATTTTGGGATGTGTTGTAGTTGCTGTTATATCTGAACTTGAACTTTCTATAAAAATAGGATTTTTGAATTCAAAATTAGTCATTTTGAATTTGTTGTAGCCAAAATCTCTAAAACTGAATTCTAAAACAAATCCAACAAATAGCATAATAATAATTTAGGTCTAAATGGCTGAGCATAATCAATGACGTTTAAAGATAAGAATAGGATTTGTGAAGCCCTTTTTTTATTGATCCAAATTATATTTAAAATGTTTTTTAAAACTTCCTATATAACCAATTAAATCTGTTTTCCAGTCTTGGTCAGAAATACATTTTGTCAAAATATGCTTTGTAATGAATACTGCACTTACCGTAATGATAATATCACTAAATCTTCTTTGCAAACAAAATTTAATGTTGATTATTTAATCTAAAACTTGGAAAAGTAAAATTTAGCTAGAATCATAAAGCAAAAAAGGCCACCCTTGTAAGCTAATGGCATAATACAACTAACATGGTAAAATGTTTCCTCAATTTCAATGTCTAACATAATTACATTTTTATTACAATATTATGTGGATCAAAAATCTTGAAGATCCTAGTTTTGACACTATTACTATTACTACTATTGGAAGTTTCAAAAGGGTCAAAGTAGTTGGGTTTTTTGGAAGTTTTAAGGAGGTTGAAGTAGTTGGTTTTTATATTTTGCATACACAATATGTAAAGATTATGTTGTCAGATTATATAGAGATTACAGTTATTTCTATTTTTATTGGTTTAATTGACAACCAAGAATATCAATCAAATTTTTTTTATCTTTATAAAGTTTAATTAAAATCTGTAAACTTTTATCATGTCAGTTTAATCTATCAGAAATTCCAATTATGCAAAAACCTGATGACCACACTTTATATATCAACAACATACCTCTGAGTAAATTTTTAGAGAAAATTTACACAAGGAAGATTTTTGAATGATTGTTTTACAATAAGATTAAAAGTTTAAGTAGCAGTATTATTTTAATATAAATTATTTTAACGTAAATTATTTTAGGATGAAGTCTTAATTTGTAGAGTTGTTTTACATATATGACTACTAAGCATTGATAATATAGAGATGCTGTTTTAATTTTAAACCCTTTAAAAAAGTGAATAAAAAAGCGATCATTTATTTTAGGTTAAAGTTGTTTTAAGTCTAATCTAAAATTAAATTTTGAGTTTCAAAAATTGAATTAATATTTTTGGCAACAGTTATACAAATATTTTATTTTGGTTTTCGTATTTCTAAAAAAATTAAAAGAAATCACCATTTTTTATATTTCCTGTGTTTATGAAAAATTAAAATTTTAATTAGTTAAAATCCTTATTTATGACTTTTTGGGCATAGGAAAACAATTTTAAAGTACTTGCAATATATTACCAGGTTTTTGCAAAACAAACATTAACATTTTTAAATTTGATTTTTGTTAAATTTGTGCGGTTAATTTTAGTCATGTGCTTTGTTTATAACCATGCTTTTTGTGGCACTTTTAAATTTTTTACTATTTTTTATGTAGTCTGCTATATTTGCGATTTATATTGTTTTTTTAATTACTTTTTCTTTAAATATAACAATAGGGGAACAACTATTACAATTGGAGTGATTACCCACATCAGTTTATTCACCAGCAGCAACATCAGCAACACTACAAATAGATTTTGATCATTGATTGAAATTTTAAAGAAGCAAACTTGTATTTGCATTGGTTCAAAGTAATCATGGCTGACTTAGGATTTAAACTTTGTAAAAAAGCATAAAAAAGTTTTATAATGATGGTTGACTTTGAATTTAAGCTTTGTAGAAAGAATTAAAAAAAACAACAACAACTAATATTAGAAAAACTTCTTTTAATTTTTTTAAAATATAGTTTGAAGGTTGTATGTTTTATTTTTGTTAAGCATGTTTTAAATTGTATATTTCTATTATGATTGTTTTTTTGTCATTATCTTTATATGTACCAGTAATAATTCTACTTCAGTACTTATCTGATATTATTAAAATTTAAAGTAATAATACTAAAAATACAATAATCCAGTACATTAACAATTATCTATTTAAAATATTGTTTTAAACAATCTTTTAAATAGATATATTATATATCTCTTTAAATTTTTGTAATACAAAATGTAAATATGACGTATAAACTAGTCTATTAAGTGACATAATGGATATCTAGTAAAAATAACCGGAACTGTCTCGTAAACATAATATACAAATTGTGTAGTAAACATGAACTGTCTAGTTAATGTAACCTAAACTGTCTTGTAAATAAAACATGTAAATTGTGTAGTAAATAAAACATGTAAATTGTGTAGTAAATATGACATATGAACTGTCTAGTAAACAATACCTAAACTGTCTAGTAAATGTGATGTGTAATTGTGTAGTAAATACAACATGTAAACTGTGCAGTAAATATGGTGTGTAAACTGTATAAAATGTATGAATCAAATTTTTAGACAAAACAGACAAATTGAGAAAAAATTTGTTACAATTAACTGTATAGAATAGGTATTAGAGGTGTGCCGGAACCAGAAAATGCAGAGTCCCTGATTCCGGGTACCCGGTGGTAAAAACCGGGTCCGAGACCGGGTACCTGACACCGAGTCCATTAAAAAAAATTAAGGATAAAAAATTAAATCAAATCAAAAATAATTTAGGCAACACTTTTTTGCTATATATTTTATTTTAATTTTTTTTATAATTTTTTGTTTGTGATAAATAAAAGACGTTATTAGCATTTGAAATAAGTAAAAAGTAGACTTTCAAATAATTTCTAATAACTAATTTATAGAAATTAATTGATAGTCAATAATTGATTAAAAACTTCATTTGAACTGAATTTAGATTTTTAAAAACAGCTAAAAAATGTAGATATCTCATTTCAGATATCTACATTTGCAGAGGTAGATATCTCATTTTAGAAACAAGAGGGAGCGCGCTCCAACTTAATTCTGAAGGGGTATGCCACTCCCTTTACTTTTTTTTTGTGTGGACCTTCTTTTTTTTTCAAAGTAATTGACGTTTTATTATTTTTTGAAATGTGGTAGTGTGCCCCCTCTTTGAAAACCATATAATATTGCTACACAATTTAAAGTAAAATTTAAAAAGTAAAGCAAAATAAACACTAAAGCAAAATTTGTTTTATTATTATTATTATTATTATTTATGAGTTGCAGCACTTAAAAGTTATGTCTATTAAAAATATTTTTAAAGATACCTGGTGCCATCAACAAAATGGCCGATTCCAGGTACCCAGTAAAACTGCCGAATTACCAGGTTCCCGGGTCCGAACCGGGTACCCGGCACATCTCTAATAGGTATTTTGTTGAATAAATATGACATATAGAGATTTTTATTTTGCATTACAAAAATAAATATTTTTTTAAAGCAAATTATTGTAATATTGCAATGATTTTTTAAAAATATTTCTGGCTTGAATTTATACTAATAATTTATTGTTACTTTTTAACAATTAAAAAAATATCAAAATAGTCATTGCACTCATGCTGCAGTTAACTTGACATAGAGTTTAAAGTACTTTTAAGCTTATATCATATATTAACTTGACATAGAGTTTAAAGTGCTTTTAAGTTGACATAGAGTTTAAAATACTTTTAAGCTTATATCATATATTAAATTATGTGAAATATTGTATAAGTTACATCATTGCTAAAATAATGCATTTTAATAAAAAATTATTTTCATATAAGCATGTTTTTGATTTTCAATATTTTCAATTCTCTAGTTTTTCTTTTGTAGTTTAAATTAAATTATTGTGTTTGTGAAGTTTCTAATAAATATAAGAAATGTCACTAAGTCGTCAACAGTGTATAAATTGCATTTTCTCAAATTGGTACAATAGTTTTAAAGATATAACCTTTAGAAGCAAAGTTATTAGGTTACCTCCTGATTTTATCGCATATTTAAAAAAAGATGGAGTGGTTTTGCCAAACATTGAAGAAACACGATATGTCAATGATTTGGATGGATATTCAGATAGTGATAACGAAGACTGGGGTACAAGTGATCAGGATCATACTTTAGCACCATGTTTCTCACTAATCAAGAATAAAGTTGATAAAGTTATAGATTATTTTGGTAATATTTTTTTTATTTTTTTTTCTTCCTGCTTTGACTTTCATTTATATCTTTTTCCATTTGTTTTATATTGCTAAATAAAATTTTTCCAACCATTTTTTACTTCCTTATGAATGATAGCAGCTGTAGCGCAGTGGTTAGCTCAGAAGCTAGAGATCCACAGTTCAACGCCACCTCTGGGCAAGTTTTATAGCATTGGTAAGGAATGAGGCGTGAACTTCATTTCAAATGCTCTTCCGCAGAACTTTATGATAAGGCTGTAAAAGACTTCTTGGGGCACCTAATATAAAAATAAAATATAATAAAATTTTATTTGTTTATATTTAGGTGGTAGTGTATTTCCAAAATTAAACTGGAGTTCTCCTAAAGATGCTGTCTGGATTACAATGGATGGCACTTTGAAATGTTCAAGTTTTAATGATATTTGTTTGCTATTAAAAAGTTCAGACTTTATATCTCATGACTTGAACGACGCGTATAGTCATTGCATAGAATCTACTCTCCCTCATTCAGATGATGCTTTTGAGTTGGTTTTACGAGAATGGGTAGATCTGATACCAAGTATGGAGTTTCGTGTGTTTGTTAAAGAACGAATCATTATTGGTATTTCACAACGTCATTCTAGTGGTTACTATAGTTACTTACACACTCAAAAAGATATTCTGCTGCAAGAGATAATAAGATTTTTTAATTTAAAAATCAAATCAAAGTTTTTAGACTCAAATTTTGTATTTGACATTGTTAAACTAGAAAATGGATGTTATAAGCTTTTAGATTTTAATCCATTTGGAGAGGTTACTGATGGGTTACTATTTAGTTGGTCAGAATTACGCAGTTTAAGTCCACAATCTATTGATAATAGTAAAATACTTCGTTTGGTCTCAGAATTAGAAAATATTCAACCAAACCCATATTTATCATATAGATTGCCGAAAGATGTTGTTGATTTGTCCTGTGGTGAGGATGTTAGTAAAATGATAGATTTTTTAAATGTCCATAGTTTGGTTGCAAAGCCAGGCGAAAACGAAGAACTCAGTGACGATGAAGAAGAAAAAAGTAAAGTTTAAAATACACATATATTTGGTAAATGTTTTCTAAGTATACTGCTCTACTTTTGTATCTATTGTTATGTAACTATTTATGTATATATTAGGGCTCTGCAAATCTTCAAAATTTTGATTCAAATGGAATCAGAAAAGTGATTTGAGATTCTATTCAAAAAATACCATTTTGACATTTTCTTTCTGAATTTTTATAAATTCGATTTGCAAAAATTTAATTTGTTTTAGATATGATTCGATGTAAAATATCTGATTCACAGGGGTTATTGGGGCTATATTATATATATATATATATATATATATATATATATATATATATATATATATATATATATATATATATATATATATATATATATATATATATATTTTTTATATGGTGCAAATTAAATAATATTTTATAAACATAACTTTATGTTTTGTCAAACAAAAATATTTTGTAAATTTGTTGATGAGATTTATTGGTGATTGATTCTTGTAATTGCTATAAATATTAGAAGATTAATTTTGTGTCAATTTTTTTAAATTTAGGGTAATTTATGATGTTTTTTTATTAATGTAAGTGATTATAGAGTATTAAACATGCTGTTATAGTTTTAATTTTTAAAAGCATTTTTAGTTTTTTAGATTTTAAAATGCTAAGTTCATTGTCTCGCTTTCCAATAAATTCTGAATACTTATGTTGCAAATATTCAAAGTCAATTCAATGCATGATATTTGTAAAATCACTACAAAATATAAAATATTGTTCTAATCAATTCAACAAAAATGAAAGTTATCTCACACCGAAAAGTTATCAAGTAATTCATAGTAAGCGATTGGTTTCAACTTCTCAGTTATTAAAGAATGAGTCAAAATTTTCGGAAGGTAACCAAGTTAATGGAATAGAATCTTGTAATAAGAAGGTCATTTTTTTATTTTTATTTTTTATTGATATATTAATACTAAAAAAATTTTTTTTCTGTATTACTTTACTGTAGACTTAAGTCTGCATAAAATGTTACTTTAGACATATTACTGAAATATGGAGTGTATACATGTTTTCTTTTTTCTGAATTATTTCTACATTTTTAAAAATTAAATTGTACATATAATTGGACTGTTGAAAAATAACTATTTTATACATGCTTTTTCTGCATCATTTTATAGAAGTGAAACATAACAAGTAATATTATAATGAATATATTAATTTAGGGTTAGCATTCAGATAGGCAGTATCTATGTAGGTAAATTTTTTTTTTAACCTTTTTATAAAAATTTTATTTAGGTTAATTCAAAATGGCTAACAATACCTAACATATTAACTTCAATGAGGTTGATAGTTTCTCCATATATTGGATACCTTATTTTAAATGAGCAGTTTATGTTGGCTTTTGTACTGGTTTTTATTGCTGGTTTAACAGATAGTGTAAGATGTTTTAAATTATGTATGAAACATATCAGAGTTTTATATGTCTGGTATGTTTTACTCTGAAACATAATTATTTTGAACAGCTCCATCATTATCATTACCATCATCATCATCATCATCATCATCATCATCATCATCATCATCATCATCATCATCATCATCATCATCATCATCATCATCATCATCATCATCATCATCATCATCATCATCATTTATTAAAGTGTTTTAATGTTTATTTTTTAGGCTGATGGTTGGATAGCAAGGAATTTTAGTAGTCAAAAGTCAGTTGTTGGTTCGTATATTGATCCTTTGGCTGACAAGATTATGATTAGCTGTTTGACATTAAGTTTAACTGCTGTAAATATTATTCCTGGTAAGTTAAAATATGTTAAATATTAAAATTTTGTTTTTTTGCATAATTTAAATATTATTTTATATTTGTATTATGTTAAATATTAAAATAAAAAATTAAAATAAGTAAAAATATTAATCGGTTGAAATAAATTTAAGTAAAATCATTTCAAAAAATTATATTGGGTTGGGGAACAAGTTTATAGTATTTATATTTTCTTTGTTTTACAACAATTTTTTTGCTGTTTGAATAAGTGTGTAATATTTATTCAATCAAGCTCTTTCTCATTCGATTCATTAGATAATATTCGTTTGGCTCTTTCTGCTCTACAAAACTGTTTCAATTGTCTATTTGGTTAGTTTAATTTTTAATTACTTGTTAGGCTTAGAAATGGAATATCCAGGAGATAAAAATCAACATTTTCAACCTGCTTTCTTCGCTTTTCATTGAGGCCAAAAAGCTGCATGGTGTACTGGGAAATGCTTTAAACAAGGAATCATGGTGTACTGGGAAATGTTTAAACAAAAAGCTGCATGGTGTACTGGGAAATACTTTTAACAAGTGTCACGGTCACCAAGGAGCACTGCATAGCCCAGCTACATTATGTGAAATAGGCAATACTACTGAAAAGATCCCATTGACAATGCCAAACCATACATCTTCACCACAATGTCAGGTCCCATTTGGCACAAGTCCTCCAAGAACTTAAGTAGGATCACACTCCAAGAACTTGAATGAGAGGTCCTCCAACATTGCTGTATTCTCTGGACCATCTCCCAATTCCCTGTCAAACTATATGATAGGTGCTACCTTCAACAATTAAGAAGACCTTAAAAACTGGCTCGACAACTTCTTTGATACCAGATCAGGCGATTTTTGGCAGAAAGGTATTGAAAAATTGGTTGAGTGGTGGGGAAAGTTTATATATATATATATATATATATATATATATATATATATATATATATATATATATATATATATATATATATATATATATATATATATATATATATATATATATATATATATATATAGTATATATATATATATATGTATATATATATATATATATATATATATATATATATATATATATATATATATATATATATATATATATATATATATATGTATGTATATATATATGTATATATATATATATATATATGTATATATATATATATATATATATATATATATATATATATATATATATATATATATACACACACACACAATTGATTAATTGATTGTTATTACTAATCATTTTCTTTAAATAAAGTTGCTAAGAACTTATTTCCCAACCCAACATGTTAATAATTTTATTGATACATGCTTATTTTTTTTATAAGCATGTGAAAGTTTTAAAACAGGCTCGGGTATGCTTAAAGGGATCCTAAACTCCCAACACATGTTGTGTTCTTATTAAAGATAATGTTAAAAAAAAAAGGTTTGAACCAAGTTTTTTGATTAAAAATAAGTAATGAATGCATACCAAGAAAAACTAATTTTGTTGTTTTAGCTGAAGCTCGCCCTCTCCATTTTTTTCAATAACTCAGAGTCTTTAAATTATACGTCACAATCTACAGACTTTATTGATTCCTTTGAAGTGCGTTTAATTCATAAAAGTTTTAGTATATGACGTCAACATTTTAAAAGATATTAAAAACCTCAAATATTTTATGCTTGTTCATTGCTATAAATTGTTATTGCGCCATATATTTAATGTTTATAAATTATGAATATTTATTATCTCAATCAAGACCACCGATAAAAAATTGTTTTACATTAATTACCCGTATAAAATTAGTAACAGCATTTTTATTTCGTTAGACATTATTTTGTCTCAGTTTAATTTGCATGAAGTTTAGGAAGTCAAACAAAAAAAATTAGTTTGAATAATCACTTTGAAATATATTTAAAACAAATTTTTTTAATGACGAGGGTTTTAAAGTTTTTTATAACTAATGTAGGTAAAAAATAAATAACTAAAAAGTTCAACATTAAATATCATTTCTTTATTATATTGCAACTGTAAATGTTGAAATATTAACTTAAACTAAATTTACTTATTATTTAGAACGGCTAAGCAATAAAAATGTTGTTTATGTTGTTTATGTTGATTATTTTAAAAATGTTGTTTATGTTGATTATTTTCATTAGTATCAAAATAGTTCCAGATTAATCTGTTAGTTGCTTTGTTCATTGTTGATTTATTTCTAGTTTAATTTTATCTCTAAGTATAATTTTATGTTTCATCGCCCGCTCTTTTTATAAAAGAGTAGAACAAAAGAGAAAGAAAAGTTTCGCATAATTAAACTTCGAATGAATAAGAGTTGTATAGAATATATATATTTTTTTATGCGTCACTCGTTCTATTAAAAAGTTACTATTAAACTTTCATTTCTTTTAGATGAGAGAAATAAAAGTTTATTAGTAACTTTTCTTTAAATAAATGAGAATTGGAAAAGAAAATTGCTTGAAAATTTGTATTTGTTAATTGTGTTTTTAAAATTTTTAGTTTTTCACGTAATAATTAATAAGAGACCAATGCCAAATACGACACAAATTGTCAAATTTGGCATTTTTTTGGCATGTTTTTTAATGCTCTTTATGACATTTTGACAATTTAATATACCATCTATCTTGAATTATTGCCATTAATTAATGTGTTAATTATTGCGTTATTTAATAATAATTTGTCCTTATTTTTCTTAAATATTAGGTGTATAAAACGGGCGAAAATATACAAACTTCATGTTTTTTATTTGATGATTATAAAATTTTGAACAGTAAACTTATAATCAAAATTTATAATGCTGACTTGTGTTGCTATTAATTGTACTTTTAATGCAAAACTAGGGTTTCACATATCCTTTCACGAATTTTAATATGATATTTCCCTTTTATCCAATTCAGCAAATTTAGCAATTTAAATTAAATCAGCGTAATCAAAAAAATTTTATAATAAAAAAAGTTAACAGTTCATCAAATATCTCTAATTAATACTGTCAGTTTATGAAATTAATTGTTAATAAATACTTTTTTTTGGCGGAAAAACAAAAAATATCATTGCGTAAAAATAACCAGGGAAGTTAGAAAATAGTTCCCATTGTTTAAATATAAATAAGTAACATTCAAGATATATAATACTGCGCTCTCTTGCACAAAAAGGAGAGACCGTATACATAACATTCTATATAATGTAAAACACTCGTATGAAAATCATAAGATTCGTAAGTAAAGCTTTAATATTTTTTTAAATTTAAAAACAAAAGGATTATAAATAAGATATATAAATCTAAAAATTATTAATTTATTGAAAAAAATGGAGGAGGCAAGCTTCGGCTAAAATAACAACATTAGTTTTTCTCGGTATGCATTCATTATTTATTTTTTAATAAAAAAAAATTGGTTTAAACCTTTTTATTTAATATTATCTTTAATATGAACACAACATATGTTGGGAGTTTGGGATCCCTTTAAGCAAAAATTTAAAAGAAGCTCAAAAATATGCTTAAGGTTTAGCATATTTCTAATAAAATATGCTTATTTCAATACTTTCTAAAAGTGTACCCATTACTAAAGGTTAATGGGTATAAGAAAAATAAAAAGTTGATTTATACTCTGTATTTGCTTTGGTTTTAATGTAGCTGAATTAATGTTGTAGTATAATAATAAAAAATAAAACATATATACTATATATATGGGCTTATCACTGCCAGGATCAATGATGGATAGTGGGGGCACTTTGTAATTATCAAGGCCTTCTGGTTTAACAAGCAAATCTTCTGAGCCATCAGAAGTCATTAAACACCCAGTCATTGTCCAACAATTCTTCCTTTCCTTGCCATACTTTGAAGTGTTTAAAGCTTTCCATGCTTTCCCTGCCCAATGTGTAATCAAAATTAGTCTCTTTTGCAGTGTAGGGCATTTCATTACTGAACCATCTATCAGAATGATTATCTCTATCAAGCCATTTTTGATGTTCAGTAGCAATAAGTCTTTTCAGAGTGGCAGCATATCCTGTGTCAACTGGTTGCCAAAGGTCAGTGGCACTTGGTAGACCATAATAGAGAAGTCCTTTAGCAGCAGCCACAGCATCTTTAAAATCCTCCTGCATCTGTTCCTGCAAATTGTTCAGCAAAAGAACAAATTTATCAAGCTTTGACAAACGGAAGGAATGGAAGGAGTGTTATATCACACCAGTGCTTACAAACATTTTGGTCTAACCAAGCATTTTGATGGAAGTAAATGTGAATATCTTTGCGCCATGCTAACTTTTTGTATTTTGAAATGCATTTTTCTTGACCTCTAAAAATGATGGCTTTGGTTGCTCTCCTTCTGGCCAAAATATAATTTGAAGGGAATATTCCCTTTTTTCCAATCCTAAGCCCAGTTGTGAGATCCATGTATTATGTGTTGCACTCTGACCCTTGGGTACATACTCATAAGTTTTCTTACCATGAACAACAAAGAGAAGTGGACTATGGTCAACACTAAGCCTTTTTCTAGATTGGTACCATCCCCATTTTTTGTCAAAACTTGGTTCTTTAGAACCTGTTCTGATACACTTTTCTCTGTCGCGTGCCATTTCTGTAATAATGGTTCTATTTCTTTCTTATGTTTCCTTTTGTTTCTTTGTTACGATCTTATTTTTAACTCTTTTTTTTTGTAAAAATCAAACTATAACATGTTTGCACCAATGTTTAATTGTATATTTCTAGCTTTACTAATTTTATACTTCAAAGCCAGGTAAAGTTAACAATATGACCTTTTGATCTGGCTTGTAAAAATTCTTTGTAAATAACTTCGTATAGTTCAAGATATTTTGTTGAACGTCTTCCCTTCAGAAATAGTTTGCGATAGGATGACTCGGCATCTTTAATAATAGTTTCTTTTTTTCAAGCCATCACGAAATCGGACTTTGTGTTACACCAAACGACTCTGCTATAATTTCTTGATTTGCCTCATAACGATAGATATTAATTGCTTCTGCTTTAAAGGCAGCAGTATAT